AAAAGATAAACTTTGCTTATGTAAATTATACTCAATACTCACAATTCTAGAATTTGAAAAATTCAAATTAGAAAGAAAATTTAAGTGAATAGAAAGGGAGAAAAATGAAGTAAGTTCTGGGCTACAGCAGTATCTCTGAGGAAGGCACTGTGGCAGACATAGACCTTAAGATGCAATTTAAGGAAACAAAATGTCAATATTAATGCCACAAATGTCTAGCAAAGGAAAGAAGTGAGACTCATTCTTCATATTTAATCAGTTATTTAAAAGGTACTTGTAAACTAAGCATATTTGCCTGCCTTGACTAGAAATTGAAGAAAGAGAATGGATGTATATTTTATATTCAGTGATAATGGTATTTAAGTATCAAACAAATGTATCATCAGAAATCTGGGTAGCCCCCAAGGGTCTGAAACAATCTCTTTTCCTATTATTTCTAGCCATCCACAGATGCCTCCCCAGTAATACCATCAAATCAACCCAATCACTATTTGCTGGAGAAATATAGTATTCATTCTTATTTTTGTTTTTAGCTAACATAAGAATTTGGTGCAGTAAGGCATAGTCTTTTCTTCACATTTAGCAGGTTTTGTTACATTCAACTCTGCACATATTTTGGGTACCTGTTGCAGACTACCCCTGCACAGGAAGCAGAGTGCGGGTACAACAGACTCGCAATACAGCCTGCCCTAAGGAAGCTGACTACCCGTCCACTTGTGGAATCCCTGAGACACAGTCATGTGATGGGGGCCTGTACCTGAAATTTCCCTGGGCAGGGCTGAAGAACTGGTGGAAGAATTTACTTGCCATCAATTTGTATTCAGATTTGAGAACTTCATGGATGAACTCGCCTTAATAAGGAAGATAAATAAAACAGTGACCAAGCATCTGAAAAGAGAGACTACATTGATGGTTCAGAAGTAAATTAGATAGTATTCATTATAGTATGGTTTCTGGTGGAGGTTTTGCTTTGTTCTGTAAGGAATGAAAGCACAAAGTTTGCTGATTACTACAGAGTAGAAGGAGGGTATTTTCATCCCTATTTCAGATGAAGATGGCACAGTATCTTCGTATTGAAGATACTAGCAGCAGGAAATGCCACAAGCAAGAAGTGAAGAAGGAAAATGGTAGACCTCACCTGGTAAGCAAAAAGCTGTGTTTATGAGTGTGAGAAATGCCCTTTGGTATATTTCAAAAAAATAGTGGAAGGAGGTTATTTTTAAGGGTCAGAAGTAGAGAGATTGCATGTTACAGATTATAAACATATGTAACAATATTTGTAGCTGTTAATAGAAGAGCAGTTTTACCTTCAAAGGGGTCTGGGATAGTGTACCTGAGCAGATGCATATGTGTAAAACCAGAATGCCATGTAGTGCCATAAAGACTGCGATAGATAACAACTATGATAGGATTTCAGGGGAGGAAGAATAGATGGTGTACCATGCAGGAGGACTTCCTCGAGAAAGAGAAAAGCTAAACTTAGGAGTTGACATACTTGATTCACACTTCATAGCTCTACAGAAAACATTTTCCAAAGAACTGTCAGAAAATAATTTCCTTATGATAAAAAAAATCTTTTGATACCTGTTAGAAGGAATAGTGCCTGCTTCTTAGTTTTCGGGTGCAGCGTTATGTGCTAATCAGGTTTCCACCACAGACACACTCCCTGAGATAATCAATTCAGAAGGAAGAGAGGTGTCTTTGGACTCAACTGTCTGTGTTGCTTGGCCCTGCTGTTTGGGCCTTTAGTGATATAGTAGAGAAGGTGGTGAAGACCTGTTTATTGTATACTGGTCAGAAAACAGAGAGAGAGAGGGAGGAGAAGAGGAATGGAGAAAGGGAAGAAGGAGAGAAAGGACTCAGGGTTCCTGTATTCCCTTGAGGTGAACGAACCCCCAGTGACATAACTTCCTCTAAGAATGCCCCAGCTGTATAGGTTCCATCCTTTCAATTCACTGTCATTAAGGAGAATGTCTTTGGAATCAAGCCAATGTTGGTTTTCATTTCAACATTATCACTTACTAGTTTTATAACCTTGAACTAGTCTCTTAACTCCTTGAGTTTCAATTGTTTTTTTGTTTTTTGTTTTTTTTTTCTCTGGTACCGGGAACCGAACTCACAACCTTGCGCTTGCCAGGCAGGCACTTTGCCGCTGAGCTAAATCCCCAGCCCCTTGAGTTTCAATTGTATCTTCAAAATAATAACAATATCATCAGTTAGTGTTGTTGATATAAAGAAGATGCATGCCCGGCATATGGGAGATAGCGAATGAGTTACTTTCTCTCATTTCCCTTTCTCCACAGAAAAATGGAAAACTGCACTGATCCTCATCAGTTTTGCTCAAAAGTATGTAATTTCACTGTTATTGTGTCACATTATCCAAATTATGTACCCTTTTTTCAGAATGCAAATGATTCTCCATTTAAGCAAACATTCGTTTATGTGTTCACTCACATAGAGTTAGACATCTGCCACAAAAAGATGTATTCTGTCTAAAAGCAACTCAAGTAGACAATAGTGAACTCAGATGTTTAAAAATCTCCGACAGGATGCTGGTACCAAGAGACTACATCCTGTCTAACATTTTATTTAGTGGTTCATTGTAGAAGGTGGAAAAACTGATATTTTATCAAACAATACACTAATTAGGATCCCTGTAAAATTACCTGCTCTTTAGTGGGGAAGCATGTAGTATGGGTAGGAATGAAACAAGTGTCTAAAAAAATGTGTGCAAAGGAATGACGAATGGTGCTTGAGTGAAATGGAATAGAAAAATCTGAAAGTAATGGGACAAAGGAAAGCCTCAGCACGCAACACTAAATAAGTAGCCCTGGGCGTTTTATCACAGATAGTTTGAGTCTCTGTCATGACTAACTTCTACCTCTACTAAATAGTTTGATGGTTAATTCTGGAGGTTGGTTAATTCACTAAGTTGAGACATTTCCATTCTCGCCATTGGAATGCTATTCTAAGTTGTGGTATCTCAATGAATGTATGCCACGGACGCAATCAATAAAGTAGCTGACCATAGTAGAAACTAAAGACCAAACTTTTATATACTTTAATGATACTTTCATTAATTGAAGCCACTACTGGGGCTGGGGATATAGCTCAGTGGCACAGCGCCTGCCTGGCAAGTGCAAGGTCCTGAGTTCGATTACCAGTACTGAAAAAAAAAAAAAATTGAAGCCACTACTTACCAGCAAGGTACTAACCCTCATTTTTCTGTCACTGGGGCTACAGTTGGGTCATTGTGACTGGAGCCCATGGTGGTTATGTGTCCTCCTACACATCAGTGTAAGACACAAGTTTCAGAGCGGGATGACTCGTGGATTCTGCCTTAATTCCAGTCTTATTTCAGGTGCCAATGAGACTTTGAAATTCTGTGAAACATTAAAGTTAACCCAAGCAAAATTGTAAAATTTCTACCTAATTAGCTGGACATGCAACATTCTATGTTTCCCTCACAAGACTGAAAGTTTTACAATCTGGAATTGTACATATTTTAAAGTTAATTTTGAGATGTTAATATGCCACTTAAGCTCTTTTATGGTTATTGTTTCCATGGTATATGTGTTTTGCATCATTTTCTTTAAACAGTGTATGCCTTTAACTGAGAAGTTGAGCTCCTTGAGAGGGCATATTGGTTATTTATTCATATATCAATTTATAAATCTCTACTTATTGAGTTGGATATGTTTAGACCACTCATTTTAATGCAACATTTGATGTAGCCAGTTATATTTGTCATGTTGCTAGTTATTTTCTATATGTCTATAATCTCATTTATTCCTCTTTCCTTCCTTCATTACCTTCTTTTACGCTGCTTGTAGTGTAATGATGCTGGTCCTTTTATTTCTAGAAAATTCTAGGATTATTAATAAAATAACAGTTGATTTTGCCTGACACACAGGGATTAACATAATTTTCTTGCATATATCCATCCAGATTCTTTTTGGATACTTGAATCTTTTCCTACCTTCCTATCTTGAAGCTGACCATAAAAAGGTTCTCTGACCCATTTTGTCTGACAGTAGGTCCTAAGACAGTCCTTGTTTCACAAGGTCCTGACACATTCTGTGGAGGAAGGAATGATACAAAATCTGAACAGACAAGTCTTGCTATTTCCCCACCTAGTCTGCTAGTAATCATGCCTATGCAATGAAGTCTCCAAAATAATGCAAGAGAACAGGTTCACATTCAGAGAGCTTCCAGAGCCCATCAGGTAGAGGTTCCTGGAGGGGGCACAGCTGGAGAGCGCATGGAAGCCCGTGCCCCTTCTCCCATGACTCACCATGTGCATTTCTTCATCTGTACCCGTTGTAAGAGCCTTTATAGTAAACCAATAGATATAAATACATTTCTTCTGAGTTCTGTGAACTATTTAAGCAAATTAATTGAACCAATGAGAGAGCAGCTGTAACCCTGGTCTATAGGTGTTTAGTCAGAATGACAGGGAAAACAATCAGGGGCTTGGGGCTAGCATTTAAAGAAGGCGTAGTCTTGGGGTCTTGAAGTCCTTGGGGCGGTAGTCAGCACTACCACCAGGTAGATAACAACAGAACTCTCCTGGATTAGAGGACACTCAGTTGGTGGCCACTGTAGAGCTGCTTGCTTGCTGGTGATGAGAAATCCCTATGCCTCTTGAGGTCACAAAAGTTGTAGTGTATAGTAGGAGAAAGCGAATTTGAGCTGGTTTTTCCTTCTGTATCCTCAGTGGTCCAGTCTATTATTATGCTGCAGATGATTTATTATTAAAACATCGCATTAGAGATACATAGTAATATAGATTCTATGGTTTTGGTTGGGTTTGCCAGAGACCAAGCTCGCTGCTGATTCTTGCACAGGAAACACCACAGACAGATTCAGCTTGGTCTTTTGATTTCTTCCTTTTAGAGCATGAAGGTGAAAAAGTGCTAAGAAGCTAAAAAAAAAAGTTGGAGCCTTGGAAGAAATCACATTAATTTTGGACAAATTTATATACTTAAAATCACAGCAGCCATTTTTGAGTCATTTTTTATTCAATGTATAAAACAGGATGCTTAGGTACTTCGACAGAAAATACACAGCTGATGCACAAGATAAGACAGAATGATACAAAAATACCAAAACTCTGACCTCAAATCAGTGTACAGGATATGCCATACATAGGACATTCAAAATGCTCTTTTACCGTCTCAGCTATTTCTAGTTATATCAGCTTAAGTGACTTTACTTGATAACTATTTTCTTTTAAAAATGGGTTCAAGTTAGGCACATAATAAATTAGTAGCATTGACAAAGATTGTGCTTCTTTGTTCTTGAACACTTCCTTTTAATAAGTTTATCAAGTAAAAGTCTTATGGAAATGCACATACCCTTAAGTTATTTATTTTAATGAGTTTAGTCTGAGGTAAATTTTTTAAAAAGTAATGTGATACACTTTATGTTAGACCACGCAGAAAAGTTTTATTGCAAGTGTGTATGGATGATAATTGTTTCAGGGCAGTAGGTATGCATTATAGGCACTATTTTTTAGATAATTGGATATAATAGTGGAAAAATTGGATATAATTGTTTATACTGTCTATTAACAATTTTACAGACTCACAGTAGCAACACATAGTATACTGTGGATAGGGCTGATGCTTCTCAGTAGGAAGACAGCTTCTGCTGCATTCTGAGTAAGGGGAGTAGAGATGTGAAAAACAAACGTCTAACAGGCCCTCCTATGTAAAATAGTTCCAGAATGAGGAAGCTCTGAGGGGTGCTGCTTCAAATGATTATTTTTACTTGAGCGCAAAGCGAGTTAAACTTCAGACATTAGCTCTGGTTAATGTCAGGTAATATCCTTTTGTTTTTAATCAACATATTTATTTGTGCAAAGGTCATGTGTTAGTATGGTGGCGGGTTTACATGTGTTCTCAGGGAGCATGTGGAAGTTTGAGGGTAAGGATATAGATGTAAAAGATAAAATAGTTTCATGTTCACTCACATTCCCATTTTTTTTTCTGTCTCTCAAGGTAGAAGGTGCTCTAGGAACACGACAGAAAGATTGTCACCTGGCACTCGTGACACCTGGCACTTCCTGTTTCACTACTAGATGGAGGAATAGAAAAATCATTTTCCTTCACTTTTTCCCATGTAATCTCTCGCCACTTCTTAAAAACCAGCAAGGGGAACAGGTAATGACAACAATTACTCAAGAGCACAACTGACATTCATGTTGGTGTCATCTGGAAGATTTATTTTAAAAATTTTGTCTCTATTAGTGTATATGCATAAATAAAACTGAAATAAAAGAATAGATATTAAGTCTTAGTCTGTGCAGCACAGCTCAGAAAATTCCACACTTAGTGTTTTTTTCAATAAGAATGTTATTCGAAATAGGTAAAAACCAAATGGAATCACAGCTTTGAATGTCACTGGCTTCTAGTCTAGTGCTCCAATTGCTATGCTGTGACAGAACATTAAAGAATTTCTGAGTCTCTGTTTCCCAACAAAAAGAGCATGCCATAGACCCAGACCCCACAAGGTATAGAAGGCATGGAATGACCTCACGGGGGAAGCCCAGAACCAAGCAGCCCCATGGTGTGTTGCATAGAGAAAAAAACCAACTGGAAGGTGGAAAGCAGAGTGCTCCTGCGGAAAAGCTCTAGCTCCTGCCTCCCTGTCCTCTTAGCTGTGAAACTCTCCCACATGTAGCAAGAGGGAAATGTAAGGAAGCCTTGTGTAAAGTTTTAAACTCATAAACCACAGGGAAAAATTTTTATATAAAATAACAAAAACAAAATGAGCAGCTCTCAAATCAGGGAGTCAGACAGAAGCTACTCATCTTCGCAGGAGAACAGTGGAGGACTCAAAAGGAAAACTCAGGGGCTTTCTGAAGGTAGAAAGGTGCACTCTCATCACTTAGGAACTGGACTTCCTGGGTGCCAGAGGCTGTACTAGACAATCAGCCTGGGATTTAGGAGCCATTATAGGCAACTTTACATTTTCCTCATAAAGGTTGGTATTTTGAATTCCAAATTCAAGTTTGAGAGTAAAAAAGTTAAGTTGCTTTGAATTTCCAAATTTAAGGTAAGTTTCAATGTGAGAACAAAAAAAGGTGATTTGTTCACTGGATTATAATGTCCTGGTTGAACACTACTTTCACTGTTGTACAACAGCACTTCAGCAACATGGAGCACCCTGTGCCCCCGCCCTCTGCCTTTTTTGGTGCTGAAGATCAAACCCACGGCCTCGCCTAGGCTGCACTTGCACAGTTATCCTGAGCAGCCCCTGAGCAGTAATCCTGGCCACAGCCATAGCCTTTTGTGATGTGCTCTGGGCTTCCTTTCCCTGCAAAGTTAACACAGTTAAGGTCCCAGGGGTGGTTTCAGGATTTCTATGTGGAAGGGGTTGGGGGCCCCTGTCTGATTGGAAAGAGGAACCTAGAAGACTGATCTTAAAGTTGTGGTTGCTTTTAAAATCTGCTGTCTGCAATTAAATCGTACATTTGAATAACAAAATATAGTACTAATATGACGCTAAGACCCATCTTTTCAGTTTTGGTTTTTTTTAATACTTTCATGGTAAGGAGGGGAACTGCAGAGTGTTGACATCATTGCTGATAGTGTCCCACAGAGTTGGTAAATCTCAGACTTGCACCTCTGAAGTACACTTCCACTATGTTCTTGCTACAGTATACATGGCGACACCAAGACTGGAAATTCTGTATAAATAATCAACTCACTGAAGTTGGCATTCACAGAAAACAGCACATGCTTTAGGAACAGACTTTTCCTCCAGGGCTTTTCCTGAAAATCTCTATTTGAGCAGAAGGCTGAAGGAGGGTAAGCGAGGTGCTTTAGAGGTTTTAGACATCAATGAAGAGTGCGTAGGACACTATGTTGAGCAATTTCCTCGCGAGAAGCCACTTTTTCTGGACAATGATCTGACTGTATGTGCCACATGAGACAGAGTCTGGGCTGCAGTCTTTTCTAGATTGCTCAGCGTCGTGCAGAAGAAGACAGGCAATTCACACAGAACTGATGGCAGGCTCAGCCAAGACGCTGCCCTTGGAAAACTGCACTGCCTGGAAGCAGATGGGCGGCTGTCTGCAACGTGTGAGCAACCACCCCACAGACCTGGGCGTCTCACAAGCCCTCCCACAACACAGTGTTACTCCAGCACTGACCAGGTGCTTTTTTCTTTTGGTGCAATTACTTCTGTTTTCTAATTGAGCTTAGGTCTTTGTTTTATAAAAGGGAAAGAGAGCATTTGTGTCTGTAAATGTATGCATGTCACCGTACACACACACTTATAGATAAAATTGTCATAGCTGTCTAAAGCATCAAATTTTGTAAAAGTATCTCTTCTCACAGCCCCTTTTCAAGCACACTTACAACCCAGAAAACATTTAGGACCTAAGTTGTCCCTGAGTCTACAGCTCAGGGGAAAATATCTTGAATCATGTGATTGTTGAGGTTTAAATTTTATCATGGAAGTTAAAATGTTTATAAAGGATAACCTGGCATAGTGTTGCTTGCAGAGCTGTGGATTCCTGGAGAGAGTAAAACAGCCTCATTGGGGCTGCTGAGTAGATCTGATTTTCACTGTGGGTTGCATTTGATTGCATTTTCTCACTTTCAACTCTTTCCTCTCCTCTCCTGCAAGTTCGTATCACTTTATTAATACTAAAGAAACCATTATAATTTTAAGAAATTGATGTTGAAGAATGGGAAATTAGATAGCATCATGTCTACTGGGTTAATATGATTAGCATTTTAGCATAATTTGAAATATGATTATAGGATGTGTATTTGGATATGTACATAGACATATCTATCTATCTATCTATCTATCCATTATGTGATTTATGTGCGGGGTGTGTTAAAGTCAGCTTATATTAGTTCATAAGGACTGACCAACACATTCCCAGGAATTTAAAAAGCTGTTTAGGCTCATCATGTTGGTAGCCTGAAAAATGACTCTGGAGAGAATATTTACACCATGAAAATTGGTAACTAATCAAATCAACTATTTTTTTCTTCTTAGGGAGCAAGGTGTTAAATAATTTACCAATATGCCATTGTAAGTTTGGTCAGGAAAGGCATTGCACTATTCATAATAGAGGCCAACAGTCATTTATAGAAACCTATCAAAGGTAAAGGAAAACAGTCTTTGGCAATTTAATTTAGCCCATAATTTCACAAATAGTGTTAAATAACAACCACTAAAGTCAGGAGGGGGTAATGAGAAAAAAAGAAGAAGAAAGATATATCATGTATAGGTACAAATTCTATATAGTGAATATTATCACTAAGTATATCTGAAATGTACCAATAAAATAAAATACAGTAAAAAAAACTAAAAAATAAATACCACTCACTTTTCTTGTTAATTGTTTTAAAATAAAGTAATGGAATTTAGCAATTTAATTATCAATGTGTCATAAGACATTTGTACAAACGTAATTTGGAACTTTTGTTGTTATTTTTAAAATCAAAGCCTCTACTTTGGCATTTGGCAGAAATATTACCAAAGCCCAAATATAAATGAAAAACGAAAACTATGTGAAAAGTGAAGGAATCAAACTTTTTTTTCTGGTGAAGCTTTTGTATGTTAATTTCACTTGGCATTATTTAGGTATTTTGTATTCAATCTGCATGTGTATGTGCATGCATATATATACATGCACTCACATGGACCTCTACAAATTATGATATTAGAGAAATGGGATCTCTGGTTCAGTACATATTCTATTACTAACCAAGAATTATTTATGCTAAAAACTGTTTTAAGCAAATGGCCACAGAACCTAGCTAATCTTGCCAAGAAGCTCCTGTTCTCTTTCCTAAAACTTTCCAAGTATCTTCCTTTTGGTTTTTTCCCCTTGGCTTAATAATACATTCTGTTTAAGTATGTACACTTACAGTTCACTGAATGCTTTGCCTGTCAGTCACACATACAAATATGGATTGAAATTTATCTGTCTGCTTTACTCCTAAGAAGGTGTTGAGCTCAGAGCAGGACTGCTGAGCAGTTATCACTGGAGTATACAGTAAGTTCATTAGGAAAGAAAGAACAGGTGGGAAGAATGCTTCCTGAACTGAGAGAGAGAGAGAGGGAGAGGGAGACAGAGAGACAGAGAAAAATTCCAAAAGCAAATTAGTACAGAAAAATGACAAACCAGCCAGAGCACAGTCAAGCTCTAGAAGGATTTATCCTTTTTTTACAACCACTGATAATGTTGACATCCCCCGGATACATTTCTCGTCTTCAGGATCTTAGATGTAGAGGTGGACAGCCAGGAGGTAGGCTGACTGAGTCTTAAGGTAATTTCTTAAAAAATAGTTTCAAAATAAACACATGGCATAAAGTTTTTCTGTTGACTTTCTCTTTCATGAGGAAAGCAAAATCCAGCACTTTCTAGATATTGACGGATTCTGAATTGTGATGGTAAATCAGGTGGAGAAATTGAGTTGTTAAAGAAGTATCAGCAAATGTTACAGCAGTAGTTCACACATGCAGTTACATATATATTCACTCATTGTTACTTTCCTAAGAAATGGAGCAGCCTGGAGCCTTATGCAGTAGCGGAGTCCCAGGGGCTGCAAAGATTACTTCAAGAACAAAGAAGCACACACGGAGGTGTGATATCTTTCTGTTGATTTGAGCTTTCAAACCCAAAATTCTTAAAAATACATTTCTGGGGCTTTATTTAAATACTGAAGTAACTTCTTGGTAAAATGCAAAATTGAAATGGAATACTGACTTTTCTTGAAAATAAGAAATGTGTTTGGAAAATTAAATATCTTTCTTTAAAATGAAAAATAAACATACTCTCACAGCTTGGGGGTTTAAATGAACCCTGTACCAAGGAGTTGCGAAAACTCCTATTTTGTGTAACATCCTGGAAGATGCTTGGCAAAGATGACTGAGCATTTCAGGGTCATCCATCTATGCTGACATGTTCTGTTCCGAAACCATTTCGGCACATTCCCCACACAATATGGCTTTTTGTGATAAGTCACTGCTTTGCTACACAGAACTGCTTTAAGTGTTTTTTTTTCCTCTGCATAAAAAATGTTTTGTGTTTTAAAGCTCAATATCAAAATTAAACATGTTCTATAAAAGTTTAAATTAATCCATTCAGTGCATTTGTTTTTAAACAATGACCATCTTGATTTCTATCTTACACAGAATAGCACAATTGCACTATTTTCCAATCACATTGGAAACAAACAAACAACAAAAAACTTTCCAACTACAGAAACCAACACAAAGATGTTTTCAGTCCATGTTGTACATGGACTCTACTAGGGAAAAATATTCCCGTTTGAATTGGGAGAAGTGATCTCTTTCAGGCATTTCTTGACATTTACAAATGCTGTCAGGCTGAATATGGACATCCATCAGGAATCAAGGGAAAAATCTTAATTTGTACTATTTCAAAATTAAATGTATCAATGATCATAAAACTCTGTATATCTTAAATACTGTACTTTGGATGGTGACTTCAGGTATAAACTCATTTGTATAAATTATTCTTCTTTAAAACCCTTTGCAATTTTGCTTACTCAAAAAAATGAGTAATTATTTAAAATATTTTTCATTGTTGTATAAAATATATCTTTTGTGTACTCTTTTTGGATCACGCTTGATCTGTCATTTACTGAGTCATTAATCCTTGATGGATTACACTGAGTTATGTGACCATGCTTTTGATTATATTATAAATTTCTTGTCACATATTTGAGGCAAACCTGAGGATAGGTCACTGAATAATTGTTATTCTTCTCTCTTATGAAATATTTCATTTCTCCATTTTCTTCTTTAGTGGCCTTTTGAAGAATCCAATCTATTGAAAAAAACAAAACATACAAAATTAATTATTTTAATTCATGTAATAAGTACTAATCTCTTTGCATGGAATCTAATTTACTACTATATTGGCAAATCTCAGGATACAATTGATTCATGTAATTGAAAAATATTATTTCACTGACCTATTAATCTTAAATGTCAAGAGAATAGTATTTATCAAATTTCTATTTTATTTTTACTATTTTAATTGGTTAACCATACGATATCTCTGAGTAAAAAGTATTATATGTATTGAGCTTATTTAAAAGGTTCTGGGAAATATTTTGAGAACCATATGAGTTGCAGTCATCTAGCACTGTTCCTACTTTACCATCATCTTTTTTTTTCAGGGATATGGCAGGAAATTTTCATCAGATAACTATGGTCATAAATGAGGTCATTAGAGTTTACAGGAGGTATAATAGATATCCCAAGACTAGTGGTGAAAGGGACTTCTGAGTCACCTGGGTTAACTTTAAATGAGTCAGAACACCTGCCTACTGACTTGAATGAGGGGCCTCTTGAAAGACCTTGTTTCATTTAAATACAAAAATTATTTAACAAATTTTGCAATGTAGTGAATGTGAGTCATATTTCATTATTCTTTATCATTCCTTATCATTATTCCTTATCATAACCTCATAAGAAGTTATAAATTCTGTATTTATTTCCTATTAAAGAATAGCAAACATAAGCATGGGAGCTGGAAGGTATCTTTGCAATGCCCTAATCTATTAAAGAAAATAAAAGAAACCAAAGGTTATAGGGAAGTAGCTTTTAAATTTGTGTATATTTTAAAATTTGAGAGTGGGATAAAATAGGTCAAGCAAAGGTAATCATTTACTTTGAAAGTATAGTGCCACTACATTATTTTAATCACAAAGTTACATAAATTATGTGATGGAAACATATAGTTTAAAAATAATTATTGAATGTCTGAAGGCTTTAAGAGGATAAAGGGTTAAAAGTAAGCAGATTGGATGGGCCGGGGAGATAGCTCCAGTGGCATAGCACCTGCCTGGTAAGCACAAGGTCCTGAGTTTGATTCCTGGTACCAAAAAAAAAAAAAAAAAAAAAAAAAAAACCAAAAAACCAGTAAGCATATTTGGATTAGAGTTTTGCTCAGTGTTCCTGTCGTCTGCCATGCAGAATCTGGTTGGTGGTAGATGAGCAAAAGGTGATAACGGAAAAAATGTATATACAAATAGTTATAAGTTTGTTGTACCCAGAATGCCAGCTGTTTCACAAGTTACAAGCCTTTTTCTTTCAGCCAACCATGAAACTTCTACATTCACAAACTGTTAGGTTCCGGGGCTCGTGCCTGCATGTCTTGGCTTGGAAATATATCAGATGAGGTTTTCATAAAAGCAACTAGTGAATTTTAAGCCTTCTTTTCTTTGCTGCTCTGCTTTTGATTTTATCTCCTTCCTCTCTCATTTCTGTTTGTTCAACCTTCCTTTGCTTCCACATCCTAAATGTCCTATTTTAAAGCTTAATTTCTATTATTTAATTGTTTCTACATAATCAATTCTGTACATATTGGATGTTTAACTGAAGTTGGGGTCATAGTGAAGATAAAGAGAATAAAATTTATACTTGCAAACTGGACTGGACCAATATTAAACAAATTCTGAAACAAGAAAATTAGTTTTTGGACCCCAAATTTTCCTTTTAACAGTCACTTTTCTTTATTTCTTCTTGTATTTTTAATGATCCTTTTTATACTTCCTAGCTCAAAACCTCATGGCAAAAATTAGACCACACATGAATATAATATTGAATAAATGCTGAATGACTAAATTCATGCTGATACATAAAAGACTAAAAAATAAGAGGTGCTACAACCCTTCCTCATCCACAAAGGATACTTTCTAAAACTCTCGGTGGATGTCTGATACATTATTTTCTTCCTATGTGAACATATCAATAATAAAGTTGATAAAGTTTAATTTATAAATTAGACAGAGATTAAAAATAGATAATTATGGAATAGAACAATTACAATGGTATACGTAACAACAGTCTTTGTTTCTGTCTCTCGAAGCATCACTTTATAATGTGCTGCATTTTTGGACCACAGTTGACTGTGGGTGCCTGAAACTATTGAGGGACTGGAGAAGATTTCTCTATCCCTTCCTCCCAGTAAGTTATACTGGGCGGGGAATGCAATGCTTTAGATTTTTAAAAATCCCCTAAAATTCTGATGTGTGGAAGGGGATTAGATCACGGAGGTGTGAGACTCATCCATGGATTTGTCCGTTGACAAGCTCTGTACTAAGTGTCCTGTTAGGAGGAGAGGCCTGGTGAGAAGTGCATCCCTGGGGGCATGACCCGGATGGGTGTATTGTTATCCTTGACTCCTCCTTTTTCTCTCTGCTTCTGGGCTGCCATAGCTTGAACGCCTTTCCCCCACCAGCTCCTTGTTTCTTTTCGGAGCCAGCCAACCATGGACTAAAACTGTGAGCCAAAATAAATCTCTCCTCCTTTTAAATTGTAGGTGTTGAACATTTTTGTCCCAGTGAAAGAAAGGGACTAACACCAGAAACAAAGCTGTGGGATTAATAAGTAATCATCACATCTTAGGTATCAGTAGGAAGCAAGTCGGAGGAGGTATGTTCTACTTTCTCATAGTTTCTCTGTGCACTGTGTCATTCTATTTATTGGTTATACTGGCCTGATGGGTATGTGCCTCAGTATACAGTACCATTATTTCAAGACAAGTTTCTCAACTTATCTGCTACTAAAATTTGGTGAAGATTTAGTTTCTGTCATGTGTACTTTTAGGAAGATAGATATAGAAAGGTTGTGTCTTTTGAAATTGAATTGTTGCTCCAAAAGAACTTGTCCTGCCCTTAACATGTAGTTTTAGATTATGATGTTCTACTGAATATCCAGAGTGGTGGGATCCAGGAGAAAGGGGAAGAAATGGTAGTCCAGGGGTTTCTGCTCCAGATTTAGTAAGTATACAGATATGTATCAGGGTAAGGGCAGCTCTTCTGAGCCTGTCACAAACTGAACTAAGCTTTCAGAAAGGCTCTAATCTAACTGTAAAGTGAAAGGAGCAGAGGGATTAACCTTTTCAGTAAGTGTGAAAATGTGAAAACAGCAAGGGATCCTCATTCTAAAACCAAGGAGGTTTGTTTCAGAGTTCATGACCCTCTGCCTAAGGTTTACAGCAGTGGAATATAATGAAAAATAGATGGGCTTTGGAGAGAAACTGTTGCTTAAATCCAGTCATTCACCAGCTAGTGACCTTGAGAGAATTAGTTAGCATCTTTGCTTTAGCATTCTTGGGTGTAAAATGTAAAGATACTTGGTTGTAAAGGTTATTGTAAAGACAGCAGAGTGGTAACAGATAGCACTGGCAAAAAATTCAAATCCTTATTCTGAACTTTACCAGTCATACAGCCCTGGAAAACATTTAATTTTTCTGCGTCTCTGTTTCCCTCTGTGTAAAATGAGGCTCATAATAATGTTTTCCTCATGAGTTAATAAGAATACTAAGTAGAAAGGTGTAAAGCGCTATTCTAATGCTTAGAACATTTCCTGGCACATGTTAAACCTTCAGTAAGAGCTAAGTCCTTCCCCTGTGGCCTTGGAATCACAGTTTCTGATCACTAAGCCTCCCACTGAAGTGTTTGAACTGACAAAACCTGTTGGTCAAGAGAGCCTAAAATTTGTTAAATGACCTTTTTTGGAGCCTAAAACAATCTTAGATGCCATAGAATGTATCAACACAACTTTTACTACTGTTGGAAAAATATATTTATTTTTACACTTATGCTGTTTTAGACCAAAGATCAAAAAAAGGTGAGTAAAAGTTCCTGTTTGTCTTAAACAGAAGGGTGAGGCCAGACGGAACTAATCCAAATCTCAGCTCTGCCTTTCCTATTCTCTTGTTGGAGGTGTCCTAAAACTCTGCTCAGAATAGAAGAGCATACTGAAAGAAATCATCAAAAACACACTGTATTAATGGTGCTTATAAATGAAGAAACTACATCTGGCCATTTCAAGTGCAATCAATGAGCCAGGCCTTGGGTACCACAGTGTGGCAAAATCAGGTATTACAGAGAGAATACCTACACCTTGTGAAGAGGAAGAAATGGACACTGAACTTGGTGGAGAATTTTGTCTTGAAAATTTTGTCCGAAAAAAAAAAAAAAACACAAAAAACCTATAGATTCTACTTATTAAATTAAATGTCACTGACCTACGTCTTTTACATGGCTTTGTTTATCTTGCCCTCTGAGAATAAACCCCTAAAGAGGAAGTTACTCATTTAGGAAGAGTCAGAAAGGTTAGGAACAATTGGTAATTCAGTGCCAGAGAAACTTATTATTTGGTGAATTAATTTTTTGTTTATGTATTAGAAAATCAAACATGTAGCTAAAGTCTGTATTCGCAGTATGTTTTCACTATTTAACCAAGCACTGAGTAAAACACAAGTGAGAATAAAGGCCAATTTGATATTAATTGAAAAAACATTACATCTAACTTTTCTGTGAGATTTTATTCTCTTTATCCTAAAAGTGATTATCACCTGAATTTGTTTGAAAATAATACAGTTCAGACTTTAAAAAACCTTTCACATCTCAACCTAATTCTACCACCTATATAAATATCCAGATCAGTGGGATAGAAAATACATGGCTACTCAATCTTACAAAAGAATTTGAAGTAAAAAGTCTGTGAAACTTTAATATCTCCCTTGTGTCAGCTAATTAGTAAATTCTTCATCCTTCACTAAGGCACAAAAATACTGCATAAAGTATCTTTTTCTTTTACATTAAATCAGTATTTGATCTTTAAAATACATATAGATGCGTGATTAGGACAATGCTTATCTTAGCTATGAATCTACTGCTTAGATGTCCTCAAATTTACATAAGAACTTATTCTTTTCTTTCATTTTTTCTCTGTTTATAAAAGTAATGCTTATTATAAAATTCCAAATGTTATTGACATATGAAGACCCTCTATAACCCTAAACTCTAGAGATCTTCCAGGATTTCTGGGTATGTCTTTCTCATTTTTTTCCCTTTACAAAGATAGGATCAAATTGTATGTAATGTTTAAAATATATTCTCTTTATCTTGGTCATCATTTCAATGTCTATTTCATTGCTGCTTAATACTATAATCCACAACAAGGATGAATCATAACTTATTTCACCAATTTGCTATTGATGGTCATAATATATTAAAAGGACTTTGGAGCTTACCTTCCACAGTGCTAATATGAGCAGCATTAACAGTAGTAATCCAGCAAAAGCACTTAAGAGGATAACCCACAACGGCACTCTTCCCGGTAACCCATCTTTGGATATTTGAATAGCAAGCTGAAAATTATTAAACAAACTGTTAACACAGGTAAACACGTACTAGAACTCTGGGAACACTGAATTCTTGCAGGCTATAATTTTCCACCAAATAGTGTACTTAATCCCAGTCAACCTGGAAAACATATTGAGTTTACATTGAAAAATGCTCTTCACCTATTTTAAATCCCTAACTATATCAAAGTTTTGATTACCATGAAAATATTAAGAATTTGTACCTTCCAAAACTTCATATATAGAGAACTGCCCATGAATCAGAATGCTTAAAGTAGGAGGGAATTTCTGTTTAACTCAGGGAAAATAAAAGTATCGTATGTTTTGAAGATTTATTAACAGACCAATGTATTATCACAACAGTGCAGATAGGCTGGAAGAACATAGGTTGTAAAGTAAAAACCTGAGTAGATATTCTTCTTTTAGTTCTAATAAGATGATAAAATTGTAATTACATGAAAGTATACTTTTCAGTCAACAAAATGCTCAAATATGGAGCATATAGATATTTATCCATTCACTCCAGTGTGTTTCTTAGTTACACAAAACCGTCTCTTCCAGCTGACTTTCTCTCTCTCATCTATCATTTAGGTCTTCACTACCGTGAAATGGACAGTCCTTAGTGCTCCAACTATGGACACTTTCATAGCGGCACCCAAACATCAGTGAAAGTTGTCTGGTTGCTTGAGTTTCTGTTTCTACCTTTAATATAGTATACTTCAGTTTCTCAACCTAGAAGGAAAACTAGAGTAAAAAAAGAAACTACAGGGGGCATATTTGCATATAACAGATCTTAATAAAAACCCCTCAACTCGCTCCAGTTAGGTCAATGCAGATAGACAGGAATATAGATATATAGAGAATCAGACCATTAAGGTAGACTGTATAAACTTCTAAAATGATTGTCTGAACTTAAATATGGAAGCTGGAATCTATATAAAATCAGTGACTTCCTTAAGATCGCACAACTACAAAATGATCACTTTGGGATAAATTTATCAATGTAGATATAATTTCCCTTTAGGATAAAATGTAAAATAAATATCTTCAGGAGAATTGTAAGCTAATATTTTGGGAAAAATAAAGCTAGTTAAACATTTTTAACAACATATTTAGGAATAAAATATACTTTCTTCTGATATAATAAATACATGTATTTTTCAAATTTTACTGCAATGGTGACTTTTCTGGGAGTGGAATGATTTTGCATTCTGCATTGATCATGCTAAATATTCTTTATCAAGTAGAAATTATAAAATGCATGTATTTTCTTTTTTTATAAAGGAATATGCTTATTAGAGATCATTGACATCAGGATAGTATGAAATTGACAATTTGCACAAACACATGAATGGCAGAGAGGTTCTAAATGGAATTTGAATGGAACTTGACTCTGTGGTATTGATTACCATAGAGAATATTTAAATTCTCCCATGACAGGAAGGGAAATCATGTTGAAGTTTCTGTGTCCATAACAAGTACTTGGCCTTATTTCATAGATATTTAAGGGTAAAAATCTCAAATTTGCACTTTTACCTAGAACTCAGTGTAGGTGTTCAGTATTATATTATGGTTTATCGTCTTATTTTTGTCTCAGATTTCCCAATGGCTAAATGAAGAAAACTTTTAAAAATTCACACACATTACTGTGTAATATAAAAGCATTTCTTGTAAAGAAATTATTTTTCCAGGTTCTCTCTACAGATACCAGCTACATTTTGTAATGTCAATTTTCGAAGAAGGAAAATTACAAATGCATCAATTGTTATCAGTGTAGAAGTAAAAACACTCACTTGCAGTGATACAAGCAGTAAAGTCAAAGGTGGTATATTAATTGTAAATATGACTTTCCTAGTTTCATAGGGAGAAGAACAAGACTAAAGTCACATCTGAAGCTAAGGATGTGTTAGACAAATAGTATCTGTCACTACCGAGAGTGGTAACAGTCACAGCTTATGGGAATACAAAGAATTATTACTCCAAAATTTGGAGTAAAAGGCATATTTTCAAAGTTTAAAACTGCACTTACCTCTCTTTTTTGGTTGCTACTACTTAAAATCAGTGATGAATTTTCACTTTGAAGTTCTCCCGTTATTGTAAGATTTAAGCTTGAAAAATATGTCTGAAAAGCAGATAGAATTTGTTATGATATATTATGCTACTAAAAATGAGAGCTGGTCACGTTTGGGTAATATAGTTACTAAAGCTAAAATTTTCCTGAGTTTAAAAACACTGGCTTTCTTAACTTCTATATGGAACTGATAGTATCTAATGATGACTGGGTACCCATTCCCCTTCTTGGACTACAAATCTTCACTTAGATTCTTGTCACTGAGTGAAAATAATTTTACAGATTATTTCCATTTTTTTTCTTAGAGAAATAAACCTCAAATTCTCCATACCTTTAACGTAGAAGGAAATAGCTACATGAATGTAGCATTAGATAGCTATACCAGGTTCATATAGGCACTTATTTAGGACTAATCATAAAATTACCAATATTCAAGACTGCATAACTTAGAAGAATAGCAATTTAATATGATCAAACTTGAAAATGGTTTCATAGGATCAACTAAATACTTCTTAAGAGAGAAAGAACAGTATAAATCCCCCTAGGTTTTAAAGTAGTTTGTTGACCAACACAAGTTGACTGTGTTTTTCAAAATGTGTTTACATAGCATAAAAGTTCAATATAACACAAGTTCACATGGTTGCCAGCTATCTCCTGTGTTAGTGGTGTCCAAGATTGTGACTCTGTAACTCCTCATACCTTCACTGGGCTCCAAACTATTAAGATAAGGATAAGCTTTGGTTCTGGAGAGGTATTCATCTCAAAGAAAAAGGATGAGGGAGCCTGCATGTAATATATTTTTAGAAGGAGATCTTGGTGAGAACTTGGTGATTAACAGGGAAGATGAGACCCACACAGTTAGGTAGAGAGAGCTTTTAGATCACATCCTGACTTACCATGTCATGTTCTTGCCATAGCAGTGCTGTACTTCACACACTCATAGTAAGCAGGGAACAAACATTTGCTGATTTGATTTAATAACTTCAAAGAACAATGCAAACACTCACTTTTATAAAAGTTGGTTTCCACAAAATGAGTGAAACATTCACTTGGCTCAGGTCAGAAGGAAGGAGATTGCATGTGATGGTAGCAAATTTACACGTACTGCAGTCCTGTTTGAGTGGCCAGAGGTATAATTAGTAGCCTTGCTATTTAACAAAAATACTACATGAAGATACTACACATTGTTATTTCCAGGTTGATGTTGAACTGATTCTAATTTTAAAGCATAAGGTAAAAATAGCACTTAGTTTACCAGAAGCGTGCCTCGTCTCAGATGTTCAGATTTTGATATAATCATTTTCTTTCCAGAGTTGATACCAAGAGGATCTTCCAGGCTGTGAGGTCTGCAGTTTGCATTCTAAGAAGTAAAAATTGTTTTAAATATTTGACAATGCCAAAGTGAAAAATGAGTTGGTAAAGTAACAGGAAGAATCTGTGAATGATAACCATTGCCACACATTAAATATCTGTCTTTGTAAGAGAAGAGAATAAGAATGTATGGATTAGGTACCATATATTCCTATTCCCAGAAAATAATTAGCATTACCATGGCACTTTTAAATTGTAATGGATTCCAGTCAGGTTGTAACAGAAATGAAAGGATGCCAGTGGAACTTACTACTTAATGAGTAATGTACTCATTAATTTATTGTTTTCTTCAAAGATTAGTTTGTAACTTCCAATAGCATGGGATGAGAAAAATTTAAAACTTAACTGTGGAAAAAGGGCACTTTTTTTTGGTATGATGGTTCATATGTTGACTTATGAAATAGAACTGAAAAGAAGAACTTTCAGCTATGTTTATGTATTTATCCAATAATATTTGTGAGCCCCTAGACACCAAGGATAAGATTCTTAGTATATGTGGGAGGAAGATGCAAGCAGTATCCCTATATATGCTAAAAAGCCATGATTATAACAAAGCTTGTTTTTGGATTGCTTCTCTAGACGTGATTTAATTCAAATTTTGCATCTTATATAAAAGGTAATAAGGATAACAATTCATAAACTAATATGGAAATTACAATCTTTCTATTCCTAGATTCCCACAAAGCTATGTTTTAGAGTTAGAGGGAAATTTCAGTTTATTTTCTTGTTCTAGAAAAACAGTGACTATGAAACAACTAGTGCCGTTTCTTTTTCTTCTTGATTTTGAGAATGATTTTTAAAATGTGTGAGGAAAAGACAGATTTTTCAAATGCTAAGATCATGCATGCATTAATACTGTGATTTTTCAGGTTTTGGACACTGACCAGTAATAAGTAACTATCATATATATTCAATGATAAAGACACAAAAGGGGATGCAATACTGCTGTTGTTTGGGATCAGTGCATAAAAATATTTCTTACTTCATGCATAGTTGTGCATGTTGAAGAACAACTGAGAAATGTCTTTCTAGGGGCTGGGGATTTAGCTCAGCGGCAAAAAGCGCCTGCCTGGCATGCGCAAGGTCGTGAGTTCGGTTCCCGGTACCGGAGAAAAACCAAAAAAAAAAAAAAAAAAAAAAAAGAAATGTCTTTCTAGGGGCTGGGGATTTAGCTCAGCGGCAAAAAGCGCCTGCCTGGCATGCGCAAGGTCGTGAGTTCGGTTCCCGGTACCGGAGAAAAACCAAAAAAAAAAAAAAAAAAAAAAAAAAGAAATGTCTTTCTAGAGCTGTTTGACCACCTTAAACAAATCAAAAACCACAGGGAAGAAGGCCATGGGGAAACAGAGACTGCAGTAAGGCTGCCATAACCCAAGAGATGCCAGCCAGCCACCAGAAGCTGGCGGAGAAACCATGGAACAGCTCTTCCCTCAGGGTGTCTAGAAAATAAACTGACCTTGACTTTGGACTTCTGGCCCTCAGAACTACGAAAGAATAAGCTTTTGTTATTTCTTAATTACCAATTTTTTGTACTTTTTAAGTAGCCTCTTCAGAGAACTACTGCATCTACTAAACAACTAGTGGAAGTTATTATTATTGTTTCATAATTTTATAAATGTTATGTTACTTTAAACTATCGCAAATGCCATGCAGAGCAAAAGTGCGAAGTGAAGAGATAGTGGTAAAGGTATAATTCTGAGGCACACATGACTTACATCCGAAGACGACCATCCTCTTGGGTACAGTACAGGAAAACCATCTGATGTCAAATTGGGGAATGAAATTGACAGCTTAAGCTCTGGAATCGGAAAATGTCCTCTTTTTCTAATCTATTGGAAAAAATTAGAAATTTAAGCTTTTCTTCCTCTTTTAAAATATCCTTTTCATCTCATATAGGACCTTGATTCTTAACTGGTAGATTAAATTGCATAAAAATTTGACTTCCCAAATAAATATTCCCACTGTATGGGAATTGGCTTAATTAAGCCAGTAATAAAATATGGATGATTTATCATATCAGCTACAATCATAGTGTTTCTTCATTCTTCTTTTTTTGGTACCAGGAACCGAACTCAGGACCTTATGCTTGCCAGGCAGGCGCTTGTGCTGCTGAGATATATCCCTGGCACATTCTTAAAATAGCTCTGGGATTAATAGAAAATGTGAATCTGTTAACTGAAAATCAGAATCAGTTATCGGGTGCTCCTTTCTAAGAATAGAGGGTTTTGGAGTCAGAAAGGAAGGAAACCACCTGCCTGATCCATGTAGAACAATTTAGCCTATTTATGGTTACTTTAACTCAATTTACCATAGGTCCCCAAAGCCATAAATCATCTCAAAGTCTAGCTAGATAGGATCTACACCACTGTGCAGGTAAAACCAGACTCCCATTTGCTTCCCTTCACAGTTCTATCCCCAGCTGTGTCACTGGGTTTTGATAATGTGGTCTGATAAAAGTAAGATTGACTGTCATCCCCATCTCTACTTGTTGGTGTCTACTAAACCTGAATTTTCACTTTATATCACACGGTGCCACCTATGATGAATGTAGCGTACAGGGCAGGACAGACAGGATGAAATCCAGCAGGAGGGTGAACTCACTTTCCTGAAGCCCTCGCCTGCTTAGAAGGTGCAGTTGAATCGGGACCATCAGGTGCTGCAGCCCTCCTCCATACCACAACATGTAAAAGCTCCAGGCCCTGACCCTTCTCTACGGCCTCTGTGGGCAGTATCTTTATTGTAATAGGAGCTCTATGAACTCTACAGACAGACATCATAAAACCCACCACCCATCAGACTAAGGCTCCCAGACTGACAGTTGCTCTGAGGGTTGCTGAAGTAAACATATCCCTTAATCCTGGAGTGCTGGAGATTCTTGACCAGCTGTACCTTGGCCTTTGCAACACGGACATGTTCCTTAACTCTGTCTTCCTGTGGTGATATAACCTGGGCTTGCTTGGCATGGCCTCCCATGTGAAATTCACTTGTTCCCTGCCATACGGTCAGAAATCACATTATTACCTGTTATTATCAATTATTTTTTATTAGTAAAAAATACTCATGGAAACTGTTGAAAGTAAACAGAAACTGAGTTTCCTACAATTCAACAGTCTTAGCAACATTTTAGTGTATATCCCATGTCTTAATTATTTGTATATATTAATATTTTATGAAACTGTATCACATAAAAACATACAATTCTGTACACTGTATGTAAAATTTGTCATGCTATGGCATTTTTCTCCAGACAGAGTTTTTGAGCATATGGCTGTTACCAGCTAAAAAGACAACCACAGTATCAATATTTGTTGATGATGTACATCACACTGTGCTAATCATCTTATTTGTGTTATTGTCTTAATTCTTTTTTATTTTTGTTTTTTTTTTTCTGGTACTGGGAATCGAACTCATGACCTTGTGCTTGCCAGGCAGGCGCTATGCCGCTGAGCTAAATCCCCAGGCCCTGTGTTATTGTCTTAACCTTGCTAACAACACTGGGATTAGAAGGCTTTATCTGTGTTTTATCTGTGAGGGAACAAGCTAAGGTGAGAATAAAAGTCTTACAAGGTCAATGAGCTGGTAAATACTAGAATTAAGATTTATTATTTTAAAATGTAACCTCTACAAAATTAAAATAATCTGTCATTTATTTGAATATATGTTATTCCTCACAGAATATATAATTTATTGAATGAGCACTGTTATGCTGTTGGGCTGTGATCAGATTTAGTTTTTTAGGCTGTTATAAATAGTATTGTTAAGAAAACCTATAAAATCTTTGTATCTTCACTAATTTCCTAAGAAAAATTGCTACCAGTAAGTCACTGGGTGTTACTTATTAAGTGTCTTTTATTTTATATAAATAACAATGTTATTTATATAAATATTATTCATAATAGGGAGTATATGTTTCAGATCTGACCCTGATAAGTTACAATAAATGAAGGTTAATAATAGGCAACTTCATTTTCTCCCTTCCTCCTTTCCCTTCTTTTCTCTCTCCCTCTCTCATTTCCCTCCCTCCTCCCTTGCTCCCTTTCTCTCCCTCTCTCTCTTGTCTTTGCTAATTCTTTTATCCCAGAAAAGTAAGTCAGGCTATAAAAACCTAACAGCCTAAGTTATAAAGATGTATCCCAAAACTAAGTAGAGAAATTGACCTTCATTTCAATTTTCAAAGTATAGCAAAGAGCACAAATAAAAACAATAAAATTCATTTTGAGAACACATTTATTTCCACTTTGTAAGAGAAATTTTTTCGTGTTGACAATTGTCCAAAAATTGAGACTATCTTAAGTTATAATTGTGTTGGATTATTTCATACTTTTGAATGCATATTTAAAGCTATCATTTGGATTGAGTACTCTTTTCCCCCTTGAGTAAAAATAATGTAAGTAAAGTCTATGGCTTGATTTAAGGAGCTAAGACTGCACTGCTAAATAGGTTATATCAATTTGGTTTCATGCTTTATATTTTTCTGGGAAGTCATACTAAATTATTGTGTCTTAGGCGGAAATTAGAAATACAGATCTTTAAAATGGATTCCATGAATAACTTTTATCAATTTAAATAAAGTATTTTAAACCAATAAAATTATAAAGAAAAGTGTGCTAGTATACAGAGATTAAATGTTAAAACAATGTGTTCATATGTATTTGTTAATACTTTAGTTTATAAATGAATAAATAACTCTAGATTAGCTTAGAGATCAATTCTTACCCAGTAGAAGATATTAATTTCTTCTCCAATGTCCTCAGTAGAGTTAATTACTTCGGGGATAGTTTCATTGGTTGCAACTAAAATATGGTACTGACTGGCAGAGCTAAAAAGAATTAATAAAAAATAAAAATAGAGCACAATAAAGTTTAACTTTAATTTGGCCTTATCTTTTTTCTTTTTTCCAAACTGTATAATTCCATAGAAATACTTACAGAGGGTTCAAATCATAAGGGAATTCTTTTATCCAGAAACCCAAAATTAAATACGTGAGAAAGATATGAAAGGTTGTAGAATTTAGTTGGAGTTCCACTTGAGCATGAAAATTTACAGAAGTTTGCCAACATGATTGGTGTTGGGGTATATAAGTTCTTAAGAGAAAAATGGTTCATAAATAGTGAAAAAATGAATGGCTCATCAATGAGAAATGGTTTCCTCTTGTATGCTCAGAGTGGGTAGGCTGGTGAGATTCCACAGGATAAGAATGATGGTCAAAAAATGATAATATGTCAGAAAATATTACATTTTATGAAAGAGTTCTAGACCTTTGGGTTGTACTTAGGAGTTAAAACTGGACTGCCAAGGCAATCTAGTATAAGTAGAACCTCATATTTTGGATTATTTGGAATACAGGTCTCAAATGGTAGGGTAATGAGAATTTTCTGGAAGACTTATTTAACACAGTTATGTAGTACCATCCCCAGAGTTCCTTACTGAGTAGGTTTGGGGTGGGGTTGGATAATTTACCTCTCTAATAAGCTTACAGGTAATTGATGGTAATGTTCTTTTCCCCAGGGATCACACCTGGAGAACCACTGTATTAATGGAATAATCAACATAGAAATGTTGTGTTCTCCTACCTGTAAAACTGTAGTCCAACTTCATATTTTACTGGGATAGAAATATTTACTGCATTATCAAAAAGTGTTTCAGAAGGTTCTTCACTGTCACTGGAAAATATACAGCATATCCACACAGATCACGATACTGTTGATTATTTAGATACATTTCTCAGCATTTGCTAAGGAGCTTATATTGGCAAATAAGTAAAAGCACAAAGGAGTAGAACTGTTGATTATCTTTTAATAGTGGTGAGGAAGATCAGAGATGGATACTGTTAAAAATTCCCAAGTTGATTCTGATGTGCTGCTAGAATTGAAAATCACACTGATTTAGATTCACATTTCCCACAATTCTGTGACAATAATTTTAAGAAACACTAAGTTTTATTATTAAAGTGCACAGATTGCTGGGCTTCTCATATAGAAATGTGGTTTAGTAGGTATAAGTTCGACAAATTTTTGTTTTTAACAAAATTGATCTCAGATAACATTTATCACAGATGAGGGCCTTGTAAAGAGACACAACTACAGTCACACAATGAGAATAAATCTAGTCTTCTATTGTCTCATTTTGATAGTCTTTTCAGGTGCAGAAGTTGGGCTCATTATTTATAAAACATTTACTTATTCCCTTGATTTTGGTTATATTAATTATATAAAATATATGCAATGAATTATGCATAATTTTACTATACTATATACATATCCACATATACACCTCGTATTTTAATACTCACACTCATTAGAAAAGCATGTGCCAGTGATAGGGTTACAGCATGGGATTTTTTCTGGACATGGGAAACACTTTGGGAAAGTTATTTAATCACTTCGTGCCTTAGTTTCTTCATTCACAAAATAGAGGCTAATCACTATATTACTAATAAATGATGACTGCATGAATTATAAGTGTAAAATGCTTAGCATTATGCCTAGGAAATACCCAATACACACTGGCCTTCATTATTATGATCACACACCCCTCCACAGACTGAACAGGCCCCTAGCATATCGTCTCACAGAATGCGCAATGAAGAACTTTAAATGGCTCCACTTGTTACCAAGTGTGTACAGTGACTTGGTGTAGGCAAGAGGGCAGCAAAAGCAGCATGTCCTTGGGTTCTGGGTATTCATGAGCTCCTAGAGTAAATAGTCCCCTTTTCTCTTACCTGTTCCACATTGCATCTAAATAAATTCTCCTGTGAAGCAACTCTGTACATATGATTTCACTCCTTAAAAACCTTTTGGCTCCTCAATCCCTATCTAGTTAAGGAAAACGCTCACTGAACTAGCATTTGGGATACAGAATACTATAAATGGGTGCACACTTCATGTATTCACTTTAGGGTGTTTACCTCCCATTGCTACTTTATATACTTTTCATGTTTCAGATATAATTGATTGTGAAGTATTCCTCAAGCAGATCAACTAATCGACCTTTCAGTTTTTGCTCAAGCTGTATTTTTCCCTAAAAATATTCTAACTACTTCTATTCACCTACCTTATTGTAAAATACTATCCAACCTTTAAGGTTTCTCATAAATTTTCTTGATAAAGTTTTGTTAGGTTCTCATTGTCAAGTAGGATAATTTTACCTTCCTTTAATCCTCTGTCATACGGTTGGTATTTCTACAATGAATTTCTCCTATTCTACGCTGTACTACAATAATGTTATACTAGTCTCAAGGTCATATGGTAGCAGTCACCCCATGAGAAGATTATCAACTTACACATTCAGGTTAGTAATTTTATATTCCTTCCACTGATTAATTCAGTATCTTTTACAGTTGAAATCAAATACGTATGTGTTGAGCTGAATTAAATTGAACATACCAATTAGTTCCCTCATTAATTCATTTTTTCGCATTTATTTACTCATCTGTTTATTATATACGGGCACCATGTTAGCTACTGGGAAAAAGCAAAAAAGTAGAGTACTTGGTCTCACTGGAGATGGTAGAGTGGATAATTACACTAAGAAGAGAGTTAAGCCATCATTTCAATTTATTACTTTTTGCTATTTTTAGTCTGTGTATTTTATAATAACTTTCAGTAGCTTTGACTAATTTGGATAAATTTCTTAATTTAAAAAGGCTATTATAAAACATTAAGTGCACTTAGTGATTCAGTTGACTTTGATGGAAAATTTTTAAATTAGCAGATCTTGTAAAATCTTAAATGAATGCAATTTGGCAGATATAAGTGATAGGCAATTATAATATATTCCAAAGCTCATATAACAATGATTTAATCCACTTGATTAAATTATTATACTTAAATAAAAATTTATTTTGTTCATTATGCAAAAGAGGTTTTTTTTGTGAAGCAATGTCGTTCATGGACTTTTGCTTCTGCTAATGTCATACAAGTTACAAGAACTTGTTAGTGACTATAAAGCAAAATACTCTAAGTATAGGAAGGTAATTATACAAATGTATATATGTATACAAATTCATACACACATAAACCAACCTTGTTGCACTTAAGTGGATCATCATGTTTTCCATGAGATAAGATGTGTTAAACTGAAACAATATCTTGAAAGTTACCTATGAAGGAAAAATACATCTCTTTACTAACAGATCTATACACTTACACATACTCATTATAAAACAGAGAAAGACATGCTTGGATCCATTAATGTGCTAGTATAAGAATTGTTCTGGAACGTTAAGGAATGATAAGAAAATAAAGCAAAACTTGATTACTTAAAGTAAGTTATAATGACAAAATGGAGTTTTGTTTGTAAAAGTTTGTGTAGTTAACATTATATTTAATAAAAATTTGAAAATATTTCTGTTACATGAACACTGATATGGGTAACAGATTTTTGAGAAACTATCCCTAAACACATATAGATGACATAATCCATGGCTTTGTGAACATCAGAAAATATAATAAAAATTTATTTGTTCTAGCCCAAGAAACCCCCTAATAATACTTATGAAATTATATTTCCTGAATTAATCTTGTTTTATACTGAAGTATTTTGAAATTAGCATCAATAAAACAGTCCAAAATGTACAATAGAAACTCTAAAATTTTATCTTTGTGATTAAATGCTAGACGGGAGAAGTTTTGATTTTTAACACTCTTTTAGTCTATTTCGGCCCTATTCATATAAGAGATGACCAGAATCTCAAGGATCATTGGTTTTTCCATAAAACTTTATTGTCCCATAGAGTTCTCTTTAGCATGTTCTTCTATATAGATTCTGATTTAAAATAAAAAAGAAAAAGGAAGAGATCTTTTAAGACTCTGAAATCATAGCCATTTTCTTATTGTTTTGAAATAATAAAATTCCAGTAAAATTTTTAGTTTTTTAAATGAGCTTGAGATACCACAGACAGAGATCAGACTGTTTGAGTGGCTCAGGGGGCCCTTTCCTGCCTTTCTGTAACTTCCATGACTAGTGCGGCCATGAAAGTCTCTGGTATCTTGATGAGTTTTTATACCTAGGGCAAGACACTAGAAGCGAGGTGGAGATGAAAAAATGTATCTATTGCATATTCACCTTATCCTGAAAAGCTTAAACTCAACATGTACATCTTTGAAACCAAAAAATCTTCTAAGTATAAAGCCTGTGTTGAAATTACTTGCAAATTGTCTTCCTAAATGCCTAAAGATGAGACACATTGATTTAAGCTTTTACCCTGACCAAGGAGGAATTGCCAAATTGAAGAAGAAAAGGTTAAGAATGGTTAAATGTGGTAAATTAACTTTTTTCTGAAATGGTGTGAGACAAGTGGATATCTACATCCAGAAAAAAAAATTAACTGGATTCTCTCCTTATATCCCACAAAAAGTTATTCAAAATGGACCACAGACTGAAATGTAAGAGCTAAAATGATAAAACTCTTGGAAGAAAACATAGAAAAATATTCCTGACCTTGAATCAGGGAAAACATTTTTAGATATGACAGCAAGAACACAAGGCATAAAAGATTAAATAAATAAATTAGACTGCATCAAAATTAAAAAGTTTTGTCCTTCAGAGAAAGTGAAAATACAATGGTGGGAATGGGAGAAAATATTTGTAAATCGCATATCTGATTATGAACTTGTATGTAGAATATAAAAAGAACTTATAATTTAGAAATATGAAAGTAATATAAAATAGGTAAAGGGTTGGAACAGTCATTTCTTCAAAGTATATATGCATTTGGCCCATATGTACATAAAATGTTGCACAAAATATCTTTGGTCATTAAGGTACACGCAAGTCAAAATCTCTATGATGTATCACTTCACACTCACCAGAGTAACTACAATAAAAAAGATATTAACAATGTGGAGAAAGTGGAACCCTTGTCCATTTCTGGTGGGAAGAGAGCACAGCAGGTCCATTTATCTGCCATTGTTTTGTCTTTGTATTTTGTCTTTTGTATTTGTATTTGAATTTGCCGTGTAATACTTTTGATTTTGATTTTGTCTTAGTTTGTTTAGACTGTTATAACAAAACACATTAGATTGAATAATTTATAAATAACAGAAACTTCTTGCTTGTAGTTCTGGAAGCTAGGGGTTTTGGGATCAAAGCACCCGCCAACTCAGTGTCTATTGAAGGCCTATTTTCTGTACACTGTGCCTGCTGTCTGACCTCATTAGATGGAAAGGACAAACAAGCTCCTTGTGAACCACTTTTATAAAACCACTAATACCAAAGGCTCCACTTCTTAACACCGTCATACTGGGGATTAAACTTCAACATAAGATTTTTAGGGAGACACAAACATTTTGGACTATATCCAAATGTCAAGCTGTAAAAATGTCAAACTCAATCTTTTTCTTCTACATCATGCTAAACTACCATTAAATGTGTTTATGTATTTGATTTTAACATGTTCCCACCAGTTTGAATCACCAGTGATACATGCATTACTGTCCCATGGGGCAGCTTGTACACTGATGGTACCAACAGATCTAATCACTTTTATTGGTCTTTTTATTAATAAAATTAATAAAAAGCTGCCCAATTGAACAGCCATGCATGCATCACTGATGGTTCAAGCCACCTGGCAGTGAGACATACAAATCATTGCCCTGTTGTGGATGTGTTAAGCACATTGGTTTTCATACCCAGTTGCTACATGTGTTGTGTATAATCTGCTCACCATTTCTCCTCTTCTCAGGAAAGGATATCCAACCTTACATGTGATGTTACGATTTGATTCACAACTGTCTTTTTGGATCCCCTAGGAGAAGAAAGTAAACAGATTGGAGCATAGAAGCAGGTGAAAACACTTTCCCAGCTGTGCCTTGGAGAGTGCAGTGCCAAGATGTGTCTCTCAGTTTGACTAGGAGAGTCACATCACTCTGGGGCCACCTGTTCCATAGTTTATTAAACTATGAAAACATCACTTGAAAGTGCTGGTAAGATAGCGCATCTCATTATCCTGTATAAATCCTCAGTCGAAACTGAGACCACCAGCAACACCTACCACAGGTGACTGTAGTAACTGAACAAAATAATCCCCACGCACTAGACTGGCACAGAGCTGCACACAGTGCACATTACAACTAGAAGAGTTTAGCACAGTGGAGAATAAGGACTCTGACCTGTGACAGCCGGGATTTAACTCCTGAATCTATCACTATTGGCTTTATCCTAGTCAAGAGTCCTCACCTCTCTGTGTCTGATTTTCTAACAAGTGGAGTTAGTAATACTTTAATTGACTGAAACTAAAATGTCATTTGATATGCAGGACACCATTATTATATACACCACTAAAGAGGAAAAATAATGCTGCTAGTTAAGTAAACACACTATCAATTTAAAATGCAATTACAGAAATGCAAAAAGGGTTTATTTTTGCATTTGAAAGGGTTTAGTGAAAAAGGGTTTATTTTCAGTGAAAAAGGGTTTATTTTCAAATCTGTGTAGTGAGTAGGTATAGTAATACCTACAAAAGAATTAATGTGAATTAAATATGTGAAATCTTTAAAACAGTGCCTAGCGCATAATACAGCTAAAGAAGGATAGACCATTATGATTACTGCTGCTAACAAAGTAGAGGATACACTGTGTGTTTTATGCTTGTGCCTCCCTGCTAAGGCCATTAAGTCATCTAAAGAGGACACAGGCAATGATTTTCAATGTGGCACTCCTTTCGGAGAAAACTTTGGTGGTCATATGTTCCCAACATTACTTTGCACTTACATTTTTGATTTATAGGTTTTTGTATTTGTAATTAATACTCTGAATTCAAGATATAGTATCAAGTCTCTGATATCCTAACAAATAAAGAGACATATCAGTGAAAATCTAAATTTTTGGAAACTAGACAGTAGTGTTTAGTATTGTGTACACTTTAAAATGTGAAACACATATTATTAATTCATATAAATACATACCAAATTTAAATTTGAATTTATGGAAACTAGACAATAGTGTGTAGTATTCTGTACATTTTAAAATGTGAATCATATATTACTAATCCATATAAGTATATACAGACTTTAAACTCAAGACCAATCATTTATTTGAAGATCATAGTTAAATCAAAGTTCAAATATGGAAACATTAATAACCTTGGCAAGGTATTTTATCTAGATATTTTATTGCCAAAATATTTTAAAAATCTATCAGACAGATGTTTTTACTGTCTCCTGAAAGAACTCCTTCTATTATGAATTAATAAAACATAGCAATTGGATACAGATCTTTAGTCAAAGTAAGGATTTTTACGGAAGAAATGAATGGGAGAAATGGTATCTTGATCTTTCTGCATATAAGCTAGGATTTTTTTTTCAGCAAAGAGATTGTTTCTGCTCCTCTGTTAAAATAATTTTAACTTTGTTATATTTACTTTTTTTCTTGACTTAACCTCAATTTCTTTGGTTTAAGGTGTCTGTGAACATGCATTTTTGATATATCAGCTGACTTCTTCAGGGTTATCTTAAGAAGAGACATATATCTCCAAAGAAATAAACAAAATAAAAAATTTTTAAGCAGCTTGGTACTTTTGGAATTAGTGTAAATGATTTTGTACAAAATCTTTTCTATTATTATACAATCAGTATAGTAAAATCAATTATTTCAGTAACATGAAAAGTAGGTTTAATAATTGGTGGTTATAACAACGAATGAATGAAAGTTTACCTCAATTCCTGAAAAAATTAGATTTGGAGAGTACTGTGCTATTGTTCTGGTGTTATAAGCACTGTCACCTTTATTTTTGACGGTGATGCTAATGTTGAACTTGTCGTTCTGGGACCTGACAATAAGCTGGTCCTTCTCTGTGGTGGATACATCCAAGGTGAGGTCTGAAATACATTTGTCCTTGTTTCCACAGTCTTTGGCAAAGGGAATCTGAAACAGTCACAGGAAATAGTTTTCAAATTGTATTTAAGCACTGTTGAAAATTATCTATTCATTTATGCAGCAGAAATGACATAGGGTCAAGGTACGTTAAGCAATTAATTAAAGAGAATCAATTATTCTGTGCTGCAGAAATCTTAAGAAATTTTGTATTTATTCTTATATAAGTAAACTTTTCCCTTGGATATTTTTCTAGTTCCTTTTATAAACTTTCCTTGCCCTTCTAAAATGCATAATTTTGGATTTTTTCACTTCCTTTAGCCTGCCAGAGAAGAACAACTTCAAAAACTGAGGGTATAAGAGAAGTATAAGAGAAGTATAAGATTGAAATCTAGAGAAGTATAAGATTGAAATCTAATCAATGCCAAATCATGAGATTTTTCTATTGAAAAGCATCAAATACATAGAAATGCAACAAAGCCAGTCAGGAAGGTAAATGAAGCCATGTGTTTGGCAGTTTTGCTTGACTTTTCCTCATTAAGTTTTCCCTCTACCAGCTTCTGACCAAGACTGCGTACCCCACCTCTCTTCTACCAAATCCTGCTCACCAATCCCCTCTCTGAATAAGAGCACCAGCCTCCCCGCTGGTCTCTTCCACCCACTCTTGTTTCCTTCCAATCATTCTTCATATCATGCCTGAAATATTCCTTGAAAATGTACACCCAGTCCCATCATGAAGCCAAACTTAAACTTTCAACACCATTGCACTGATATTTTAAGAAGTTTAGAATTTTCCCAGAGGCACCACGTCCTGCAGGATCTGGCACCTGCCTTCGCATCTGTCCCTGTCTTACATCACCCTTGTGCTTTAATTTCAGACACATCAGCTTTTCTGATACTTCAGGACCTTTATGTGTACTCTACCCTTTGCTCCCCCACTCCCTCCAAATAACATGGAAAATCACCCTATCCTTCAGCTCACAATGACAGGGTGTTCTCCCAGACTCCTCTGCTGACGTAGAAATGTGCAAGGAGCTCTAACACTCTCCTTCACAGCACGTACTTAATTACTACACCCCATTTCTGGGTTAAACTGTAATCTCTCTGTCTGGTCCATGTAAGACAATAAATATATTTGGAAGGCTGGAAGGGAGAGTGGAAGATAGTTACATGGGCAAAGCCAATTCCTCCTTTGGGGCAATGCTCTTGACATCCTCCTCCTTCTCTGTCCCTTCATTCACTTTCTGGTGTGGAACAGCGGACTCTGAAATTGGAAGCAAGACTGGGGGAATACAGTTCCGTCTCTTCTCCTGTTCTTGTGGTAGCTGCACAGCCAAGAAAACGTATATTCTGCCCAGCTCCTCCACTTTCTGTGTATTACAGGTGAGTCACAATGAAGAATGCCAGAGATTGGTCAGCACTGTGGATGACTCGCTGTCTACTTGTGGTCTAAGTACAAGGTTCAGTACAAGGACACCGAGGTTACTTAAACCATGACCGGCAACCCAGTGTGTATTACAATAAAAGGGGAAGAGCCTTTCAATTGGTCTTCAATTCAGGGGAGGTTGAAAAAAATGGGCATCATTTGCTAGCTCCCTAAACTCCCACAACAGGAAATAAGAAGGCTCATGAGGTGTCTGAAAAAGGCTAATTTTTTATATGCATGTATACACATTATTGGTTTAGGGTTTGTGTTTCCATATTTCAATCTTTTCCCTATTACAGTCACAAATAGTTATTCGAACTTACATATTCATGTACTGAGTTTGGTAACAAATCATCAAGAACAGGCCCGTTTTCTGGATCAGTAAGGTTAAAATCCAAAGTTACTCTCACGGAGTCCTGAAAGTCGTGCTTGTCCTAGAGGTTGAAACAAAACAGCATGTCATTGGTATCACATTTGCTCAGTGTTCTGATCTGGCTTTCTCCTTTGGCCCCAAGGTTTACTGGAGGTTTCTTGTGCAACAACCCGAGCCTATGACCTCGTCAGGCTTTTGCTTCCCTGGAAGGGGACAGCTTTTCTGCTTTGACAAGGGACGCAGCTGGAAAGCAGAGACCTCAGGCTATGACCAGTTGATTCACTATAGCTAATCAGAAGGACCTGCTGGTGTGATGGGACATGTGGTAACTTGTTCAATATCATTTCATTTCTCTTGAGACATCAGCTAAAAATCAGTGTGCAATACAGTTCTTCCAGGAAAGTGTTCCAAACCTTCTTTAAATTGAGTCACATATCTGTATATAATATATAAATATGATATATACACAGTTGTATAAGAATTTTACAATGTAAACTGATATGGAAATAATATGAATATGACTAATATTAATACTGTCATCAATAACCTTCATCCACACGATCCACAATTACAAGCTTCATACATACTATTGTGAATTATTTCAGTTACTCAAAAGGAAATAACTATTAGGGTTCTCACTTTACAGATGATAAATTGAATTTTACCACAGTCACTCAGAATGTGGGAAAGTCGACCACAGAATAAATGTTAAAATGTTCATTAAAATCCAAAAGAATTTTGGAAGTTTTGAAATTAGTGCATTCCTTTCAAAACAGTACCTAGACATGGTGTGGCCCCTGAACTTGTGAACAGAGACTGCAATAGCTTTCATTCAGTAGGTTACACGTAGTGCATCAAATTACATACATGTTCTAACTCCTAAATGTTTGCTTCTGAGGAACTCAATAGGAGCGATAGTTCCAGTTTTATTTTCTCAGATCACACTTAGGTCTTAGTGTTAACAGCATATACACAGTACATATATTAATATTCATGGGGAATGTTGACCTGAAAATCAATGGGGAAGAATGAATGTATACATCAGGATCCAGTTTCTGTCACTTTTTGGCCTTAAAATTTGCAAAATGTAAAATATAAGCACATTAAGTATATGGAAATAAGTCAGAGCTGGGAAAACCAGCCTATATTCTTTAAGATTCTAAGGTCATGTTCAGGTCTCAAGTCTTAATTTTGTGTACTAAAATCAGTGTTTCTTCATTACTTCCCTTCTGCTTTCTTACAAAATACAATCATTATATTTGAAGAAAACGTTTAAGAAATTCCCAACCTCAACTGGGAACACTTTCCACATAGGCAATACTCAATAAAACGCTTCTAAAATGATTCAAATTGGTTTACCCACCATCTCTGGGGATTAATAGTACACTTTTTAAGCCCCTCTGATTCACCGAAATAGAAAGAAACTGAAGTAGCACAAAGCCGGAGATAATAGAAAATACCAGAATTTCGTTCCTTTAAAGTCAAAGAGCAAGATATATATATTTCAATGGAGCCCAGAAATAATTTTCTCTCGGGACAGTTAATTTATCACTTATCATATGCATTTGACAGAGGAGGCTCACAGAAGTTGCATGATGCTTTCAAATTCAATAAATGAATGATTAAAAATGAATAAATGAAGATTTCTGGTCAGTTATTACATGAATGTCTGATACACAGGGGAAAGGCTAAGGATAGTTTTATAAAATATATTTGGAAATAATAAAATCAGATCCATGATTTTCTGACAAGAGTGAACGGACAATAAAGAGTTGATACTGTGCACTTTAAAACAGAATAGTAAGACCTTGGCTGACTTGGAACAAGACATCCATACTATACTCTTAATTTGGAATGAGGCAGCTATAATACATGATTTACTTGCCAACATGTAGAAGGAGTGCTGAATGCATCTGGATTCTCGAACTGTGGTATTTCTTTGAATCCTTCTTTCCTGAGTTCCCAAGAAAAAGCTTCGTGATATCTGTCTTAGGGAATCCAGGGTAACACGGTACTGCATATCTATAAGAGTGAAAGAAAAACTGGCATAAATGTTTACTTGAAAGTGACTTTTATATGATTCAACTCATTAAACCAGCATTGTAGAAAATCTCTTGAGCAATCAGTCAGTGAAAAGGTCCTGTTATTCACCCTATCTACCTTACTGTAATAGAAAACCTCAGCTGTCACAAAGATAACCTTGAGGAATTCTGATAGAACTGTTCTGTGTTCCCTATGTTCCTCATGTGTAATAACACTTACCCTTAATGGATATAGCCATAAAAGCTGACACATGCATACTTATCTACCTAATTACTGATTATGTGTTTGTTCATTGGACTTTCCCTTAAAATATTTGCTTTAATTTAGAAATACTGGAACATTGCCTGGAATACTGATTAGGTTATATTTCAATAGAGACAAAATAGGCATTAATGATATTTACATCGCTTTTTAAAATAAAAAATCATCTTAGATTATGTTCAAAGTATTATTATTATTATTATTATTATTATTGGGTTTTTTTTTGGTTTTTCTCCAGTACTGGGAATCGAACTCACGACCTTGCGCTTGCCAGGCAGACACTGCCGCTGAGCTAAATCCCCAGCCTTTCAAGGCATTATTAAATTCAATAAAATAAGCATATCACAATGGGGGAAAAGGTGAAATCATACTTTGTATGTAGGCCACAATCTTTATTTGATTATCCAGTTAACAAAAATTAAATTTGACTGAGATAATGTTGTACGTTGAAACTTAAGTCATTATTTTACATTCCTATATTTCATTTACCCTCTAATCAGGGGACTGTTTAGAGCATATGTACACACATGGGGAGAAGAATTGGTTTTAAGGATTATTGTATTTTCTTACTGCACTAACGTTGTTTGTGAAGTATCTTACTCTTCTGCAGGCAGTGGCTTTTATAGTTTTCATGTCAACATATTTAAACATCATTAAAAACTTTAGAAAGCACAGCGCGTAGGGATGAGGGGGTACACAGGCTGACATGGTGAACTGAGGATCCCCACATAGAACACGTTTCACTCTATAAAACCAGCAGCACCTTCTCAATGGAAGGAATTTGGGCAGCCAAGTATTCAGGTCCCCTGTAATACCAGTCTTCCCCAGCAGGGAGCAGGAAAGGGAGAGAATGCTTTGTGAAAATCTGAAGGAAGGCTAATGGCGCTTATTTGGAGCCCATTTCAAAATGCTTCCTCTCTATATCTTAGCATCTGATTGTTCATAGTAAATAAGAGCCAGAGGACACTATCAGGTCATTACACACAAGCATGTATTTTTTTCTACAGAATTAGCTGGGTTCTGAAATCAGTCCTTGGTATAGCAGAACTGTTTTCAAGTTTATGGAGCAAGGGTAATGGGGAGTTCAGCAAGGCTGGGGGAACTGCAGTATCCTACTGGATTTCGTGCTGGAGCAAATACATCATTCTCTGCCCAACACAAGTAGCTATAATGACTATGCTTACCAGCTTCATAAACGGAGTCTTCTTTGGACCTCAATTTCACATTAAAACACATTGTAGCGTTTATGCACACTGTTTCTTTTCCCTCTACACGGCAGTTTTTCTTTTGAATATTCACTTTATTGGGTTCAAAATTCATGGAGACTTCAACAACAGCCACATCTCGGGACCTAGAAACACATAAACAAAGGGGATTACTTGCACATTTTACAGTTAATGAATGCCATCCACTTGAGAGTGCAGTGTGAGTGCATTGGGGAAGACTCTCCTTTGTATATCAAATGGGCTCTTAGGAATCCATTCTTTAAAGCCGAAGAGATTATGTCCTGTGCTCTGAGGAGACTCAGATTGCTTTAGACCATTGAGAGCATTTGGTTCAAAGACCAAAGATTTAGTTTCGCTTGTAATGGCAAAGAGATGCAAACAAGTGCCTAAATGCAAGCTCAGAACCAAAACTGTTTGGGGTATTTCTAGGTTTCCAATTTAGTCCAGAGACCCCTAGAAAAATTGGGGTGCCCCTGTTAGTTTTCATGTGGACTGTAATACTTGTCTGTTCTTGTGGATTCAGCCCTGATTCTCGGAAGAGTAAGTAGAATAATATTCACAGCACTAAGTTAGGTATGTATGTTACTTCATTTAATTCTTGGTTACCTTTAATAATAAGAAATACACTAGCCTCCCTCTTAGCCACAGTTTTGCCTTCCACAGTTTCATTTATATGTGGTCAATCATGATAAAAAAGTTAAATGGAGAATTCCAGAAAGAAACAATTCATGCACTATAAACTGTGTGCTGCTCTGAATACAATGATCTTGCACCTTCCTGGTCTGTCCTACCTGGGATATGAAGCATCCCTTTGTCCAGTGTTTCCACACTCTATATCCTATCTGCTCCTTACTTAGCAGCTACCTCAGCAATTAGGCTGACTGTGCACCATCACACCTATAAAGTCTGTTACTATCTGAGGTTTTAGGTATCCCACTGGGGGTCTTGGAAAGCACCCTCATAGAAAAGGGAAGATTGTATTATCTTTATTTTGTATGTGAGGTAACTAAAGTAACTGAGACTCTGACCTTTTTTACCCAGTGACAAAGCTGTTAAGAAGGAAAAAGTTGTATTTAATCTTTTCATTCTACAGCCCAGGGATTTCCACTGTTCCAAAATGGTGGCAGACTTCAATTTTAGGTAGAAAGAATATGTGGAATGTGAGGTCACTGCCTTTGAATGAAGTCAGAATAAGTGTAGGATATCTTCACTTGGTTTCTGCTTTGGGAGCAGAATCAGCTCTAACTAGATAGCTTCTCAATATGATATCTCTGATTATGCTTTTGAATTAGAAAAATGATACCCTTTTCTTTTAGAACAATTTACTCATATAAAACATGACAAAACATGGAAGTGCATAAAGAAAACAGTAATTTATAATTCTACCTCTCAGCAATAATCATTGGCTATGTTTAGTGCCCTAAGTGTATTGTCTTTGCAGAAGAATAGCAATATAGGTATACACACATGTACTGCTACTATATGTACACACATACACATATGTATACATGCATATTTTTGAGCTTATAAAGAACGGCTTTCCAATATTTATATTTTTCTGAGGCCTTAACTTTTAATGCCAGCCTACTATTCCAGCATATGCATATATCATAATTTATGTATTCATTTACCTCTCATTGGATATTTCATTTCTAAAAAAATGGTTACTAATATAGTACAGATTGCTCTAAAGATAATATGTCTTTATCCATTTTTGTAGATTATATCTCTAAATTATTTTAGGAAGTAAATTCTTTTTCTTTTTTTGGTACCAGGAATCAAACTCAGGACCTTGTGCTTGCCAGGCAGGCTCTTGTGCCGCTGAGCTGTATCCCTGGCCCTAGGAAGTAAATTCTTTAAGCATGAATATTTTAGGATGTTGAAATATTTACTGACAAATATTTTCCGAGTTTCAGGCAGTTTACCCTTTCGTTAGCAATGAATGAACATGTATAATTTCCTGTTTAGGACATGGATTCTCCATCTGTGAGGCTGCCTTGACCACTGTCTGCCTCACACATCCTGGCTGCTCCAGTTGGATCTTTACATGGGCTATGGTTGGGTCTAGACCTGGTAACAAGGCTTGCTTTCTGCTTTCAGACATCTTTGATCGTCTCTGCTCATTGCTTTCCATTCGTATCCAGTTAGTACCTGCTTTGGCATTGCAATACTTTACGTTCCTTTATCTTGGTTTGCTTCATTCTGCTGTTAACAGACCCTGGGCTATGGCAGGAACTATGTCTGTTTCTGTGAATCAGGTAAATGAAAGAAGAGTCAATTATCCCTAAAAGCTCATACAGAATTCAAAATTAGGGATACTTTCTTGATTATGCATTTCATCTAGAAAAGTCTGTCTTCTCCTACGCCTTCCCGGTATTGGTCAGCTTTCTTGTTGCTGCGAACAAATACCAAGAAGCCACAACCTAAAGAAAGAAATGGATTATTTGGCTCACAGTTTCAGAGGATGGAGGTCATGATTCACTGGCTCCCAGGCAGAAACATCATGGTGGCAAGGTGTGCCAAGTAAAGACACTCAGTTCATGGCAGCGAAGAAACAGAGCAGGAGAACAGCAGCAAAGAAGAGAAATCGAGATACCAGATACAGACCCCAAGATCAGGCCTCTAAGGCTCACACAGACGCACCCAGAAGCGTGCTTCTGCACTGCTCCCAAGCCAATCAAGTTGTCAATTATGCCTGTCACTTTCTCAAGTGAAGAACTTGTGTCTATTTAATGGAGCATAAAAGAAAACAGACATTTGGTATGGCATGAGCTCCAGTCATATGGTAAGAGCTGGAACTATCTGGGAAATAAGAGCAGATTATAAACTACATACCAGAAAAGGGCTGCACCACCAAGGCCCCCAATTGTCACATCAGTCAGACCATCACCATTTAAATCCATTTCTCCGTGGATAGACTGGCCAAAAAATTTCAGTGTCTTGCCATCCCCACCAGATGGAATGCGCTATGAAAATTCGAGCAGAGAGTACCATGTCAGAAGACTGTTCAACACAGTTTCAAATAAACTTGAGAATTTAGATTGGTTACCAAAAAATTAAAAGCTCTTTTGGGAATCAAAAGGTACTTCATGTGGCAACAGGAGGAAATTCTGAGGTGTTCCCAAAGGACACTGTTCTTTTTATTGTACACACAAACTCATTTCTGGTGACATTAGAAAAAAGGGGGAAAAATATATAATGTCATCTTGTCTAATCCTCAAGAGAAACATTACCAGCAACTGGCTCTACTTTCCAGTTCTTTTTCATCCTTATTACACAGAGATATACAAAAGTGCTAGAAGCCTTGAAACCATCATCATACAAGCAAGGAAAGGAGTGCATTATTCTAGAGGTCAAATTGGGGCTTACTGAATTTTGTTGCACATTCCAATTACAAATGCATATTCCAGTTACACAATGTTCATTACTGCCTATCAAAAGTTGTATTCAGATGTGTCTAGAATGTAGGGGAGGGACAGAGAACATGGAGTTCTTGAAGGCTGCTCTGTGCACCTTACCATACACGATATTCTTGTTATCTGCGCTTGTTCATTTAGCACTGTAAAAGGTGATGATATTTGAATAGAGTCTGATGGCAGGGAGACAGGACTGAAAGACCCTCCCTAAATTGAGGGTCTTCTCATCCTCTTGATTTCTACTTAAAAATGTAAAATTAAAACTTAAGGCAAGCCAAAATGAAACATTTTTTTCCAAGTGGAAACATTTTTATGCTTAAAGTTGTGTGTCTCACTGGGAATAGTTCCATATTTTTTCAGCAACCTGATCAGGAGGTGTTGAAGAAGTTTATTCTGGAACATTCTGCATATAAGCAGCATCTCTGGTCCTCATGGAAATGAGTAAATGGATCTTCACTTATTCCTTGGGAAAGCATTTTGCCTATAGCTAATATTCTATTTTGTTATGTTTATTTCAAACTGTACCTTAATTTACCACTATTTTACAAATACATTTTTTAATGAAAATCTATTCCATTAAATTAGTAAAAATGTTTATTTTGTGCTTTAAATGCCATTGCACTAAACTTGCAGGATTAACCCTAAGGGAGTAAAGTACTGAAACCAAATAAAGAGAACCTCATCCTGTGTGTTTTGGTCCCATGTGCTCCAAAGGCTAATATTGCCCAATTTTAGCAGAGTATATAATGCAATAAAGATTTTTTTTCAATACAGGGGATTAAACCCAGGGCCTCATGGATATTAGACAAGCAGTCTACCATTGAGCTATATCCTAAACCCTTTTTAAAATTTTATTTTGAGACGTAATCTTACTGATTTGTTCAGGCTGGCTTTGAATTTGTGATCCTGTCTTGGCCTCCTGAGCAGTTGGGATTTGAGATGTGTACCACTGAACCTGGCACATGAAGATTTTTAACAGAAGTTAATCATTTACGAAATAGATAGAAGTGTTGTTACTGAAATGAGCCCTTTATTTTGTTCACTGTCATTATAACTTTATGTAAAATTAAACACAGCTTCATAATAGATGAATAGGTTCTGAGAAAAAAACAGACCAGTGAGATATAAAAAGAAATAATGTCTAGGTTTCCTTTTGTAGTACACAAACTAGAAAGTGCTCAATTCTGTTTTCGCAATAAGCAGTTGCTCAGTACCTGTCTGTGGTAGGATTACAAAAAAGCAGATGATTGCATTAGAATTTGCTTAAACTCTCACGTTTTTATACCCCATTAGGTGATTCTTTAAATTAGTATTTTTCTCATGTGTGAAGAAATTAAATTTCCAAATGAAAGCCATTAACTGACAATACATTTAAAACAGGAACAATAGAAATCCCCTGCAGGTTAATGTTAATTTTTCAAAACTTTCCAAGAAGGGTTACTTGTGGGAAAATTATAAACTTTGATAAGACAAAATTCATTTGATGAAAATATACCCATGTAATTCATAAGTACAAATTTAATGCAATTCCATTATAACAGCTTGGGTACCAATTATAAAAACAATACTCTCACCTCATTTATTATATGATTCATATAATTATTCTCTTACTCAGAAAGAAATATTTTAGGATGAAACACACTGCAGATGTTGAGTAGCATTGTTAGAAAGTGTTCTTTTTTGTTATGCCTTTTTTTTTTTTTTTTTTTTTGCCTTTTTGAGACAGGGTCTCACTGTGCAGTTCAGGCTGGCCTTGAGCTTACTCTGTAGCTCAGGCTGGTCTCAAACCCACAAGGATCCTCCTTCCTCAGCCTCTCGAGTGCTAGGATTACAGGCATGTGCCACCATGCCGGACTTGTTTTGCCTTTTTTCTTTAGCTCTCTGGAGATGTATTTTTGTTTTAGTTTTAGTTTTTTGTTAATATGAGTTTGCAGTATGTAATGATTACACTCCTCATGGGAGTTGGTTCATGGACATAGTGACACATCTTACTTCTTTTTTCAGTTCCTTCTCCTGCTTCCCCCATCTCTTGATCCCTTTCCCTTATGCAAAATATCTATCTTCCTATGTCTTATTATCTATCTTTTACTTTGCTCTTTATTTATATTTTGGGTTTCTCATATAAGAAGAACAATGCAATTTAAGCTTAAATATGTTATTTAAGCTTAAATAACAATAGTTAAAACAGTTAAAATTAAACTTTTAATAGTTAAATAGTTAAATAACAATGTTATTTAAGCTTAAATAACAATAGAAAAGAAACCAGATAAAAGTATAAAATATAAAGTAATTCCTCTATAAAGAACACTTAGGAGAGGATTAAATCTAGTTTCCCAATACAGTCAGAAATTAAATAACTCATGAAACAAGACAGGTATGGCACGGAATCCCCTTAGCACTGATGAGCAGGAATCTGCAGGTTTAATGTCTTACTTGTGCATACTCTTTCCTTATAGTTTTGCCACTCCCATGATAAATGTACACAGCTCCAGCGTGATCATCCTCCAGTGGAGCGCCTATCACGACGTCATTGAATCCATCAAGATTGAGGTCTTTTACAGCAGCAATAGCTGTTCCAAAACGAGCCCCGCATGGCTCATTTTTGTTTTCTTTTGTGCATGAATTGTGCTTCAGAGATGAGCAGCAGGTCTGCTTAATTGGTTCCAGGCTCATTTGATATTCAAACCTTGTCTGGAAGGAAGATAAACAGGATACTTATGGGCTCCTATCACTACTAGAACAGAGTTGCTTTTTAAAGTACATGATAAATCAGTGCTATTAAAAAATATTGGTGCATCAATGCTAATGTTTGTGAAATTTCTTAAAAAGCGAGCCTGAGAGCAAAGTTAGGATCCCAAGAACAGCTTTTAGAAGCATCAGAAGAAGATACACTGAAAATCTTAGAGGGGTTTCTTTTAGCACAGTTGAGATATAATCAGCATCATCTTTTTAACCTTAAAGAACTTAATTTCTTTTCTTTTTTTTTTTTCGGTACTGGAAATCAAACTCCTAACCTCACAGTTGCCAGGCAGGTGCTTATGCTGATGAGTTATATACCCGGCTCAAGAACTTAATTTCTAAATCATCAAGTTATGCCATTATCCCTTCTCTACTTAATACTGTGCTTCTTTGATAAAGCTCCTTTTATTCTCCCCTATAAGACACAGAGAAAGTTTACTTTGCTCAAAAAGCAAATTTTCTCTACAGTTGCCTAGAGTGGGAAGGGGAAGACAAAAATCCAGCAAGGAAAAAAGTACTAGAAATTGTGGAAAAACCACACTTTTGGGGTGGGTGGATGGAATAGGAATAAGACTCCTGAAAAAGTTCATAGAAGAAGTAAAATATGATAGGGGAAAAAAAAGAGACATAACTTATGCTTTGCTATAATACAGGAGAAAATATAAGAGTTTTAACAAGCTAAATAAATAAACACTGGCTTTGCTGTGAATAGCAACACAATGTCATAATGAAGAAGCCAAGATTTTACTTACAAATGCTATCTATTGTCAAGAATGGAATTTGACTCCAGTCGAATGAAGTATCCCAAAGACCAAAGTGGTTCCTGGGAAGTATCTCATGTCTTTGCTTTGAAATTAATTCTCCTGTATCAGCCAGATCACTCTAACTGCTAATATCATCCACTTCCAGACCAGAGCTTACAAATGGTTCCAGGATGGGCATTTCAGCATGTGTGGTATCTGTCTTCCTTATCTCATATGTTCTGTATAAAATATACTGTACATTTCCAAGTAGAAAATATCTAAGGGCCAGAACAACATTAGAATTCTAAGTTTTCCTTTTGAAACTGAAGCTTCGGTGGTATGAATGGACCTTGAAAACTTCTTTGCTCTTTTTCTATAGTGAGGGAAAAATTAGAACTGCACTATTCAACAGTAGATGGACAGAAAATTTTTTCCTGGATTTCTACGAAACTCAGCTACAGTTACCTGATTCAGAGTATACACATATACTTTTCCTTGTTCTTCTTTCTCTGTTCCCATGTACATGGGAGCTCCAATGAGAAGGATGTCAGTGTTAGAATCATTATCAATGTCAATTGTTGTTAAAACACTGCCAAAGTAGGAACCAATCTAGGGCACAAGACAAAACAAAACAGTCTGATGAATGCCAGATGTTCTGAAGAAAGCTAAACATCTGCATTTCTCTCACTTCTGCCAATCTGGAAGAGGATATGAGATTCAGTTGGCAAACGGAATGAAATATAAAACTGGAGGCAGCTGAGCAATCTTTAGGCTAAAAGTATTAGTCCAATCCTTGAGGATGAGCAATTGTTACAGATTTTAAAGCTTGAGAATAGCAGAAATGATTCCCTTTAGATTTTACCTTAAAACTGGTTTTTGCTCTCAAGTTAGATTAGTGATAATGCAGGCTACCTGAACCATGGGTTATCCAACTTCTAATCTAACTTGAGAGCAAAAACCAGTTATAAGGTGAAATCTAAAGGCAATCATTTCTGTTATTCTCCAGCTTTAAAATCTGTAACAATTGCTCATCCTTCCATCATGCCTCTCTTCCCATCATTACTAAAACAATGGAGCTGGCTGACCATGGACTGACACCTCTGAAACTGTGAGCCAAAAGTATCTTTCTTCTTTAATTGTTTATCTCAGATGTTTTGTCACAGCAACACAGAGCTGAGAAATAAAGCCTAGTACATAAGAATCTGGCCTCTGATTCACTTTTACTTTCCTGGGAATCTACTGAGGATGAAATTCCAAATGTATTGCTGAACAACATTGGTGATGGTGAAAAGAAACTCTGGTTGGGATGTTGCATGTTAGCCATGAGGAATCGTAAATGAACTCTAGGTACCTGATGGAGATGATGTATTTTGGGCTTTCCAGAAGTAAATCTTGTAATGGACAAGTCCATCACAGAGATACTGGAAGGTATAGCTATGCTATCATCACAAGGAGCACTCTCTCCTGTGGGGCATGAGGCTGTAGTACCAAGGCAGCTCCTAGGCCCGCCTGCTGTGAGTTTCCTGACACCAGCATTGTATGCTGGACTGAGGTGCAGCCAGGACATCTATAGATGAGCAAAACTGAATCAGCCCTTCCTGTATAACCTTCTGAATTGAAATATTTACTAAAGCCCAAGAAGAAATCCCCATTCAAATGGCAAAATAAAGTTAATAAGTCTCATTTAGAAAGAGTTGGCAAACATAGAAAACTATGGAAAGAGTCAAAAGTTACAAAAGCTATTGCAATATGAAAATAACCCAAAATAGCATAGGAAGAAGTTTTAGTCTAAACGAAATTGTAAATATTGATGTTTATCTATTGTGTGTATTACTTCCCATACAACTTTTAATGTTCAAGGTAACCTAAGAAGATTTTCCAATTTTACATGTTACAATTTCCAATTGCCTTTGGGATATCATCCACATTTTTTAGTTTCTCATTCAAAACATCATACAGTTGGGGTCCATGTTATCTCTTTAACTCTCTTTCAATTACATTTCTACTTATTTATATTCTATCTTTCCTTTGACACTCAGCCCGATTTTCATCTCTTAAGATTTTCTGCACCAATTTCAGTTTAAAGCAATCATTCTATCTTCTGAATATAATGTTTGTGTTGTTGGTATTTTTATGCTTCGTGGTGTTTTAGACCTCTTGTATATATTTTATATATCTACATCTATACCTATTATCTACACATCTTTCCTCTACCCCCATGCAACTAAATATTCACGAGGTCAAAGATGCAGATCCTTTACTTTTTTCTAAAGAATTTAGCAGGGGGGCATGTTTATTCACAGTGGAAATTTGACATGTGTTTATTACCTTTTAAAAAATTTAGGACAATAGATAATTACATAGAAGACAATAGGTTAGTTTAAAACAATATTTTTCGTGTTTACCTGTTCTCCATGGAGTGCCTGAAGAACCTTGATGTCTCCTTTTTCCATCCTATAGATGATGACCTGGCCTGTGTGATTGTATCGAGGCTGTCCCGCAACATAGAGCACATCTCCAGGGGCAGTGGCAGAGTTTACTGTGTAACCTAAACAAAGAGAGACTGTAGGTCCACATCTGTCCTCTTAAAGTCTGCATATAATATATTATCAGTCATTGTAAATGGCTTCAACAATCATTTTTCTCTATTTTATGTAGACCTCTTTTTAAAAAATAATTTTAAAATGCATAGTAGAATTTGTTTAGGTTAGAATCTTCTAATATGTCCTCTGATTACCTACCACAGCTGCTTTTTTTTGAAAATGTACTCCCCCAACACTTAGCTTTTCACTATTTAAAGGCACAATGACATAACAGTTATGACAAGTACCCCACAAAAAAAGGACAGCCTTCAATTCACCATTTTGAAGCTAATCAATTGTGTTTTATGTGGACGGGCCTGTGCTACAGACATTAATAACCACATAGTTGAGATTCTAGAAAATGTAATTTTTTTCTGAATTGCTACCAGATTTTTAGTTGTAATTTTAAATAGTTGAAGATTATTTCTCTGAACTAGAACATAAATGTGTGTTTATTACCCTGGTCATCCCTTGATGGAATACTAGAATCTAGGTGCTTTAAAATTTTTTAGTATTGGGGCTGGGGATTTAGCTCAGCGGCAAAGCGCCTGCCTGTCAAGCGCAAGGTCGTGAGTTCGGTTCCCGGTACCGAAAAGTTTAAAATTTTTTAGTATTATATTTAAATGTACAAAGTATCTTTGAACATTTAATATATTTTCTTCTTTTGGATTTTTTGGACATAAATTTCAAACAATAGATTAATGGATCCAAGTTTTAAAGGTTCTTATAGCATCCGGCAAATTGTTTCCAGAATGTCTGTGCTGTGAGCAGTTATGTGAGAGGCTAGTTTCATTACACCTTGCTAGGCACTGTGTATTGTTACTGTTATTTAAACTGGAAGATGTTTATTGGTGACAAACTTTAACAGAAGTGCCTTGTGTGTCTTTAATGTGCTTGATTAATGCTGCGCTTTAGCAGTTTTTCATGTCTGATTATCTCTCATTGTGTTTTCATGTTCTTTATAATTTTTAACATTCTTTTTTATGGTTTTACTTGAATTTGCATGCATCTTATGTTGAGGCATAAGATATTTTTTCCCCGCTGTCTGTCTATCTATCTATCTATCTATCTATCTATATATATATATATATTATTGAAAGGAACAGTTAATGCTTAATTTTTTTTAACCAATTTGGCATGCTTATATCTGGTAATTTGAACAACTAATTTGAAGACAATAATATATAATATAGCAACCACTGGCGATTCCTACTATCTTGTCTAGTGAAACTCTGTATCATTTCTAATGATTTTTTTGTTTTTATTTTTTATTCTCTTTAATAGTTTGATCAGTCTTGCATTTCTACTGGTAATCTGAGCAACTTCACTGAAGATAACAATATGTAATATAACAACCACTGTTAATTCCTATCATTTTGTTCTGAAACCTTGTATCATTTTTATTGTTTTTGTCTATGTTGTTGGTATCCTGCTATCCTTCTTCCTCTCCTCCTCCTCCTCCTCTTCCTTCTTCTTCTTCTTCTTACTGTTACTATTAATTATTCTCTTTAAAATAAAAAGAAAGATACTCTTTTCTTCTATGCAGTTCCTCTTCTGGTGTAAAAACAGTTCTGTTCCAGGCGGAATCATCTCAGCGTGCTGGAGGAGCTCATGGACTGAGTATAGCTGGCATTGTGGGTGCTTTGTTCATCTGGACATGCTCAGTGACCAGAGAATATATACATAGAAGCTCAAGTTCATCATTATGCTCTGTATTTTGAAGCATGTGCAGGAACACTTCGATACTTCTGGTTTTCACCCTTTGTCCATGGACCACACATCTACCAACATCATCACTGTAAAAATGGAAAGATGCACATTTCCTCTGAAAAGTCACCTTTCAGATACTTGGTGGCTTTTCAGATAGGCATAACATTGATGGCCTGAGAAGTTTCCCAATGTTCTCCAAGTGAAGTGAAGATTTGCACATCTTGATTTCTATGACTTTGTAGGATTTTCTGGGTGAAATGAATAATGTACCATTTATAGAGATGGCTCAGACCCATAATGGGAAGAGCTTGAGCTGTTTCTTTTTGTCACATTATCATTTTTTGAAAGAAGAATTAGATTTATTCTTTGTGTCTTTGGAGAACAGAGCTAAAACCATGGGTAAAATTGACTACATTTAAATTTCAACTCTCCAGGAAGAAATGTTCTAATAACAAGGGCTGTTCATGGAACAAAAAGGGATACTATTCTTCCAAATGTCACCACATAGTCTTCTGAACTCAGAGAAACACCACATTGCCAATTTATTTGGCAAGTATTTTACTACCAGACAATAATTTAATTTTCTTCCAAATTTTAAAAGAAGAACATAGGATCTTATACAAAAATGTGTTCATTCTGACAAATGCTAAGGGAAAACAATTCCTCAGGCATATTATGCTTTATGAAGATTTTTCCCACATTCTCATTTTTCATTATTCTTTAAGGTTTTTATGCTCTTAGACATTATAAAATAAAAAGTATTCTTTTCACACATATAACTTATTATATTTTATATTACTATCCACAATAATGCTTAAGAAATAAACTGCTAGAAGTCATATTTATGCATACGTAAAAAGGGAAAGAAGAATGTGAAAACCAAAGGCTGCATGATTTCATGTCACTCTACTAAGAAATATAAAAGACACAGTGGAATAAATGGAGAAAGGTTAATACATATTGATTTTTACGACTTTCTGTAATTTTCAGAGATATTAATGCAAACAAGTGAATTACTCTTTAAAACTAAGTGGAAAACTATGTATAACACTTGGACAGTTTTTCACATACCTGATCACTTCTCTCTTTCTCTCTCTCTCTTTATTTTGTCTGTTTGAGACAGGGTTTCACTATGCAGTTCAGTCTGGTTTAAACTCACTTTGTAGCCCAGGCTGGCCTCGAACTCACAGCAATCTTCCCGGCTCACATTTCTTGTTTTAACTGGCTTTTCAGTCATATGTGTGATTATTTGTTTGGTTTAATAATTTGTATTTGATAACTACAAATGTCAGCTGATCTATCATAGGGATAGTAACTAGCAGGTACCCATGGTTTCTTATTGTAGCTCAGGTTAAGGTAAAGAGGGAAAGAAAAAGAGAGCCAAGTAAAGGGTAATTTTAATGAAAGGCAAATAATAAACATCATTCAAACTTAATAAGTTCTGTCAGCGCTCATAATTTCCATCTTGGAAGAAATGTGAGACGGTAAAGTGATGGGAAACGGGTTATGAGCTGTGTTGATTCTGTCCCATTGCCTCACTTCTTTACTTTTCCTTTGGAGTCTGCCTGTCACAATTAGAACAGGGAACTGTGCAAGAGGCAGGGAATACAGTCTCAGCTGTGTTCTCACCACCGAAGTGCACACTGAGTCAGTTTACCGGGTCTTGGAAGATAAGTGTGTGACTATACCCTCAAACACATGTTCAACAGCTTCTCCTCCCACTTCATTGTGATTATTACGGATTAGCACATGCATAGTTTTTACAGCACCCACCTTTCACTCTGCTTCTTTATAAGATTTCTGTGATCTCACAACTTGAAATTCACAGAGATTTCAGAGCGACACATTCACTCTCTCCTTAATTTGTTATTTTCAGAAGGAAACATTTTGATAGCTGCATTTCAGATTTAGAATAATATTTGGAAACAAAACAAAACAAGCTTCCACTCCATGACCCCTACCTTTTCTGGGTGCTTTTCTATTTAGAAAGAAATCTTACATATATTAGACTTTATGTTGGCAAAATGTCTTGTATGCTAACTTGTGAATAAGCCAATGAAATAATTTCTGAAACGGAAAAACAAATCATCTCAGCACACTGTAGTGAACATACACAAAAATTTCCTTTTCTGAGCATAAAGGAGTCATAATATATACATACTTTTGAAAGAGTACTTTTTTCCATTTTTATTTAGGTAGAGTTGACAAAATGAGTCATATATTGTAAGTACTGTGGTCAGGAATGAGGCCTGTTTTAATGTTTTCTCACTTGAGTGATATGATTAAATCTTAAATTCTCTAAATCTGCTTTAGCAAACATCAATTGAGGCTTTAGGAGAGTAATAGATTTAGGATTCTAAATTTATTTGTTTTAAAGGAATGTAATCACATAATCATAAGTTAGAATACCAAAATACTGCAGTGATATATTAATAATTAAAATATGTGAATTTCCTAAGTAGTGCCCATGTCACACACATTGCGGACTCCACATAATGTCTTTAATTTTATAAGTACTCAATACTTAGTTTAAACAGTATTAATGTTATCTAATCTTATTACATATATCTGTACTAGTTTTCTATTACTCCCACAACAAACTACCACAAATTTGGGGGCTTATGACAATGTAAGTGTATTATCTTATAATTCTGTAAGTTGGAAGTCTAGTATAATTATCCCTACATTACAATCAGAGCAAGCAAGTCTATGCTTTTCTCTGGAGACTATAGGGGAGAATCCACTTCCTTGCCTTTTGCAGCTTTGAGAGACCACTCATGGCTCGAGTTCATCTCCTCCATATTGAAAGCCAACAGCAGTGCGTCTCTCTGACCATTTTTATTCAGTCCTTTCTCCCTCTGACTACATCCAGGTGAAGTTCTCTCATCTTAGGGACACTTGATTACACTGAAGCATATCATATGTTTCAGGATAAATGTCCCATCTCAAAAATCCTTAACTTAATTACATTTACCAAGTCTCTTTTGATATGTAAGATAACATATTCATGGGGCCAGAGATTAGGATGTGTATATCTTTGGGGTGATTATTTTACTTAGCATGATACTAAGATAAGAGGGATGTTCATTATATAACACTACATGACAATAAAATCATACACAAGATCTACTGAATGCTAACTATCTCTTGGGCACAATACTAGACAAGCATTTTGTAGTTATTATTTAATTTAATCTTTGTCACAACCCAAGTTATATATGCAGAATAGTTTTTACTATTTTAGAAATAATTCATTTGAGACTTTGCAGGGCAATTTGTTCAAGGAACAGGAGCAGAGTTTGAAAGCAAACACAAGTCTCTATGGCTCAAAGATATGCTTAACTGGACAGTCAGCACCGGAACTGCTTCAAGTCCTTGGTATTGTAGCATTAACAGCTTTATCATCTTTATTCTGATGGATGCATAATGTTCCACTAAGTGAATTTACTATTTCCTTGATTATCCTATAATTTTACACATTTAAAATCATGCCATTTCCTTGAATAGCATAAATATCAATAAAATAGAAATAACTGTTCACTTGTCATTCTTAAATACTGGACTTACTTCTTAGGTTAGATCCTCAGATATGAAATTTCTGGGTCAATGTGATATTAATACTATATTTATCTCTTAGGTTAGACATGCAAAAGTGAAATTTTCAGGTCACTGTGATATGATAACTTTTAAGATTCTGCAAATGTATTGTCAAATGTCTTTCTTAAGGAGTTATAGCCTTTTTAGGCCATCTATTATACATACAGGTAAATTTTCTGTAGTTATTCGATCTAGGAAAGAGGCCTTAGGTTAAACTGGATCTTGACTCCAAAATATTTTACATAAAACTGTCTTATAGAGTTGTAGGATATGAAGAACTTCCCTTCAAGGCCAAGGAGTTCGTTTTCTTTACTGCTGTATCTCTAGCACCAAGAACAATGCTTGAGCAACAGAGGAACTCTATAAAAATATTTGCTAAGAGTTGGGAAACCGTGTGCTGAGAGTCCTTTCCATTAGGCCCTCCTAACTGTGCATGAAGATCTTTTTTCAGTGACAAAGAAGCATCCTCCAGGCAGCTTCCAGAGTGTATAGGTCCTGAAGAGGGTACCAGACATACACCTTGTTCTCGGCAAGTCCTTAGAAGACAAGATGATGTTATATCACTGGGTATAAGTTCAAGCCACTATTCTGATTGTGAATAGTACTGTTTAAAGAAAGGTATGAAATTCTTAAAATTCTTTTTTTTTTCAGAATCAGGAGCCATATAAAGAAACTAATGATAAAAGTGAAAGAGACTATGAGAATCTACTCTCTAGTATATAAGCAAAGTTGAGGTTTCATTTTTCTACTTTTAGTTCCTGTCTAGCAGGTCAGGTCTTCTTGAATTTAAAGATAATCTCAGACACAGGGAAACCTCATAAAGTGCATTAACCTACTATTCCCTGCATTAGATACCGCTACTAAGAATGACCTCCAGGTTCCGTGACTTTGACTCACAAAGGCTGCTGGGAGCTCTGAAACCTTTCATAGGTTCTTAAGCTGCCTAACTCTTTAGAGTGATCTTACTATATGGTTTAAACCTATAGACGCGTGAGCAAGTAATACCAAAAACAAAAGTAGAAAAATAAACTTCTATAATTACATAAAGAGCTTACCTAAATAAGAAGCAAGAGGTTCATTCATTTTGGTAGACCCCACTTGAAAGGTTGTATTTTGAGGGACTATGTTTTGATTGGCCTTGTGCATGACAACTGTTCCATTCCAGTCATAGGCGCCCACTGCCCCAAGCATGACCCAGTCCTTATATGTAAATAAAGAAAACAATAATATTTAATACAAATGGCAAGAGCAAACAATTAGACAGCATTAACAAAGTGATAGGTACTGTTCAAAGTGCTATATATATATCTATATCTATCTATCTATCTACATATAAACTCATATAATATTTATAATAACCCTATTGGTTAGATGACATTATTAATATCCCCACTTTACAGAAGAGGAAACTGAGGCACACCAAGTAACTTGCCCAAGGTTATGAAGTACGTTTGTACACTGAAATGTCAATATTCCTTTAGAAACACCATAATGGCTTTTCTTCTACCAACTACAAATAGTACTTTTCCTAATCTTGTCTTCCTACTTTATTCTTAAAAAAATCTTAAAACTTAGAATTCTAAGGAATTCTAGCAAGACCCTTGAATACCTTCACACTGAGAAAAAGATAAAGTCTCTGTCTTTAGCAAATAAAGTAAGCATTTTATAAGGCAGAACTCAAGGTGTCTGATTCATAAATACTAGTAAAATACAATGAGTTGTATGAGATATAATAAGGAGCTCATGAAGAGCTTTTTCCCTTATTAGATTAGAAAACATTGTTATGACCCTAGAATTGCTCATGTCATGAACTCCTAACTCTGTAATATGGACAGCTGGGTGTTATTTTGGCAGGAGGAAATCCTACCAAAATATATTTAATTTACTAGTAAGTGATCGACATACCTGTGAATAATGAGCACTGAAGCCAGTCTGAGACAGTTCCATTTCAAATGAAGCCGCTGATGGGTCAACTGTAGCTATAACCAGAAAGTATCAGCATAAGTAACTAGCGATGACTTTCAGTGCCCTGTTGACATGCAGGACACAGAGACGTGGCAGAGCCTGGAGTTTTCCCAACCAGAAGTTATAACATCTCTGGGCATTTTCAGTCATGAAATGCATTTATCAACTCAAAATTCCAAGGTAGGGCTGAGTAGAAGACAGAGAAGGGGAACAAAAGGTCTTCTGTCCCAGAATCGTCTCATTAGCTTCCCCTTCCTTGCTAAGAGAGAACAGAATCTCCGTTCTCACACTGCATCATGCTATGGCTGCTACGGTGCTTTGGGTCCATGTGGAATTACTGTAGTAGGAAATCCCTGCTTCATCTTATGACTTGAGAACCCTGCCTATGCTAAATTTAGTTGATAACTTACAGGGCTAAGAAAAACTTAATTTACTTATTTAAATAGCTTTCCCAGTTCCATCAGTCCTATCCATATTTTAGGTCACAAATCCTCCAAGAATTCCATTATTTGATAAAGGGTTTAAAGAATCCTATTTGCATTAGCTCATAGATTTGGGTGGCAGCGGGTGGCGGGGTGCTTTCTGACACGGTTCCAGGCCACATGTCATCTGAATACATATTTTTCAAATATTTTGTGACCATTATCAAGTTCTATACTGAAGTGCAGAGACAATCCAGAGTGTTCTATGGAAGTACACTACTCTCAGATTTTTCTCTAAGTGTTCATGAGCTTAAAGCCACAATTTCCTGAGGGAAATGAGAGAATGTTGAGTTACTTGCTTCCAGGGAATTTCTGATTTATTTGGCCCTGTAGATAAGTTAAAAATAACGCACAATTTTTAAAAAGTCAGCCTCCCTTTCCAAGCAGAAAAACAATCAAATTTGTGGAACTAAACATATTTATTATTTATTTGCTGGCATAAAAATATAAACAAAGACATCAAGGACTGCCTTTTTATAGGACTAGATTAAGTGGGGCAATCAATCAAGAATCCAAAGATACCATTTATTGTTGTGTGTGAATTGTCCTCTAAAGGACTGGAAGTCACTTTTATTTAAAATCCTGTTTTACATACACACTGCTTGAAGGTACTCTGATCTTTGCGAGACCAACAGGCAAGAACGCAGGAGCAGAAATCTGCTGCTGTTCTGTTTTCAGCCCGGAACAAACAGAAAGCAGCTATGTGACATTTGCCTGCTCCCCTGACGTCATGGTAAGAGCCTGCTGCATGTCTGAGTTTCTGACTTTCAGCTCTTCCTGAACTGTTCGTGCCAGTTCAGCCACTCTAAGCCCTGTGCAGCCTCTGTTTAGGAACTTCAGCGTTTCTTCCAGCACCTCACGAGAAAGGGAGATCTTAGACCATTTCCTGGTCTTATTTGAAAAGGCCTTGGATTGTTTGTCTCGCTAGGTGGCGCTGTCCTTGGCAAGTGGACTTTCATAATTGCAGCTATTTACCACCTAAAGATAAATATTGACAGGAGGTGGAGATTTTCCAAGTAACAAAGAAAAGGCCCATTTAAAAATCTCATTGTGAAAGAAAAAGAACCATGTAGTCAACACAGCTTTTGGTTAGCTTTGATAGTGCAGCAAAAGACATGGAGGATATTTTCAATCGGTGGAGTGCCTTAAAAAATAAGTTTGTTTGTAAATATAGAGACTTTGAGGTGCTTTGACACTCCAGTGTGGTACTTTTAAGCTCTGGTGTGGTTAGGTTAGAAGGAATCTGAAAATCTTATCTGAGGCAAACTGACTCCTGCCTTCAGTTGATGTGTGCTCATTTCTGTCAGTCCTGGGTTATATTTACTTACTAAGAAATGTTTCTTGGTCTCTTATCAAAAATTAAAAGTATGAAATCACTTGGAAGAATATATACATATAGTTTTATATAATATATAATTTATATATATTTTATATGTGTTATATATAATTTTTATAATTTTACATATATATATAAAAGTTTTTAAAGGCCAAGCAAGATCATGACCTGGCCTATTGACAAATGACAGCACGATGGCTGCTGAAAAACCAAAATCATGTTAAAATGACTTGAACACAGAACATAGGACAGCTGAGTTCCCTATAAGCAGCAGCCGCTTCAGTCTGACACAGAATTCTAGTTTCCTGTTTCTAAGACCAGAGGAAAAGGACCCGGGGCTAAGGCGAGCCGGAGGAACTCGGTCTGGCTGGGCTGTCAGTCCCCATCACAGCACGTCCTCACGGAAAGCGCCACTGGATGTGGATACAGCACGAGGGCAAAAGCATTCTCCGTGGTTTCTCCTCCTCGTGGAAACAGCTGCCCTTTCCCTGAGACTCCAGATCTTCGGAGAACGTGAAGAAGGAGGCTTCGGAGAAAATGTGATTGCCTGACATGACAATTCTGAAGACTTCTGTCAGAAAATATCTAGGTCCGGAGTAATCTGTTCACTGAAATCCCCTCAGGAAGGGGAGGGAACAGCATAACTCAGTATCTTCAACAGCCAGGCACCCATGGGGGGAAAATCTACAAAGCAACATGATTCAGATAGTGAAGGGAAGGCTCAGCACCACAGGATGTGAGGCAGAGCTCCATGAAGACCTTTAAATTGTGCAAAGAGTAAAACACGGAGGAAATGGAGGAACAAAGAAGTTCTTCCTTCAGACAACTCTCATAGCAGCCCTCACTGAAGTAAAAAGACAAATGGAAAGACAGCATTTTGAGCCCGTGGCTCCATGTTGCAGAAAAGGAATAAAGCACAGTACTGTACATGGGAACACTTTTGTTCTTATATATCTACCCTAACCGCTATGTTCACAGGCTCTCTCATTAGCACTGTCATACCCTTACAAAGAGATCACTCTACGTGAAATGGTCAGCTCAGCAACAGATTTATATAAAAGGGAATTGCGCCATGCTCATTATTATACACAGTAAAAAATATATTGGTGATAGGCTAGAAATAAATATCCAAAACTCATTACATTGATTTTGAATTGCAGATAGGACATCCAGGGTAAGAAGCAATAGTCCATACCTTCCAGGGCAAATATTCTTTCTCCCAGAGCTTTAACAATAGTGACCAGGGCCAATTCGTCAGAGACGTTGAAGAAATGGTTTTCAGTGGGTTTACTTGCAATCGATTTTATTTCTGCTACAAATTTTTCTGTGCTTAAATTTCCTCTGTTATAGCTGCCAAGAATCTAAGACATAACAAAAACAGCAAGAACATAGTTTAACTTCTATGTGTTAAAAAAAGGATCTCAAGTGTATTGGCAGTAAACCAGAGTGTGCAGAGTACCTTAGCATAATGCAATTTTTATGAGCTGCCATATTCATGCCACAGTGAATTTCAGCATGCTAACTATTCAATAAACACAGCCACTTGGTATAGGAAAATGTAAAGGGAAATTTTGTATTTTTCTTCTCCTGCACTTCTGTGTCCCTGTTTATTAACAGCTGTATCTTTGAAATCTGACAGTTCAAAAGTAACGCTGCAGTTTCTAAATGTCTTTGATATTATTCCAGCTAGTGACATCACCATCTGGTTGGTAGAAACACTCAGCAAGTAAGTTGTTTGATCATGAATGGGCAGTTCTTCCTGAGAATCTCACCAAGGCATACACACTTATGTATGCATTGTATGCATATGAATATATATTCAGACATATATTGGACTAAGTCATAAACTAAATTGTTTCTAGAAAATAAGGAATTAAGGAATTCTTTTTCTGAAAACAAATGCTGAACACAGGAGTATTCTTTTTTATAGTGAGGATGAGGAGGCAGGAATTACCTGTTATAGTTAACAAGAATCATTTAGATAATCCAAGCAGGCTTTGTTAAACATTTAGTTTATTTTTAAGTAAAATTTATTGAAATATAATTTATAATAATAAAACATATAATCTTTAGGTGTCTTGATGAAGCAATATAGTTATACTGCTATGTATTCAAGGTGTAGCATATTTCCACTAACCCCAGCAAGTCATTCTTTCTTAACTCCTTCGCCCATAAAATGTGGTCACAGGGGTAATGTGCTAAGGTCTAAGTAGAACTCTGAGGTGAAGACACATGCCACTGAAGAAAACTGGAGCTGGCTCTAAAGTAATAGGCACAGACCTGGGTACCTTTTTGAATTCTGAACTTATTCTCTGCTAGGTCGTCCAGACTGTAGATAGGCAGGCCTAAACCAGGAGGTTAGAAATTACACCAGAGAAGAAAGATTTAAATCTTGTCTAGGTGCTGAAAACAGTGCTAAGCACTACAACCTGTTACTATTTGAACAGGAACTGTGGGCACTTTCTCCCAGTTTCGCTATGTGATGGAGGAAGAAGATTAATAAAAAGATAGTAGAGAATCTGCTCGAGGTAGGGAAGGGAAACTCTACAGCTATTGTTTGTATCGCATTGAACTAACCTCTCTCTCCTTGGACAGCCATTACCAAGATGCTCTTCCTACAACTGGCCATCTCGCCACATCCGGGAGCTACATGACAGTGTAAACATCAAAAGGCAAGAGACAGACAAAGCCTGCAAGCTCCAGAGAAAATACCATATTGGTAGTACTCTTCTCTGAACACACCGCTGGGCTCCTCATTTTGTCAACAGCTTTGTTACTCACTGGTTTGTTTTAGATCCATACAGATTCTGAATGATGTGACTGAGTCCCCCTTTTGACTTATTCTATAGACTATGTGACATCCTAGGCTGAAAACTCATCATCTTCCCTTCTTGGTTCCTAGTTAGCATATTCTAGACTAACTATTGGGTGGACACCATCTATAAATTGATGCAGTTGAAAATACACTTTAAACTAATCTAACAACATTTGGATCATGCCTGACTGAGGTGGCCTAGTGTGATGTGAATGCTATCATTTAGTGGTACTGCAATGGGCGGAGACAGGTAGATAAAATTTATTAGGAAAAATGACCCAATGACATGCTTAAAGAATAAAAATAAAGTGTGAAAATACAATATGGGAGTATATACTTATAGGAAAACAGATAAAAATTTCAGGAGTTACTGTGACTTGTGTACAGTTTTCAGCTATTTTGTATCACAGAGGAAAATGAAAATAGAAAGGTATTTTGATCCTTTACTCAAGGGTCTAGTAGCTTATAAAAGTGTTTTCTACGAATAAGAAGAGAATGAAAAACACACTTCCAAATTACTTGTTTCATTCCATTCAAATATGTCAGGGTAAAGTATTTGGAATTCTGCTAATGTTTATTTGAAATTAACATTCACAACTGAAACTTCCATGAGGCGATTGTGTAAAATGATAAGTGTGCAATACATTTACATATAACAGTTCTTTTGTTTGAAAAGTAAATGAAATTTTAAGATCTTTTCTGATGTCTCATTTTCATTGGAATGTTGTAGGTAATACAAATATCATAGCCATTATCATACAAGATTATAATCTGAATACAAGACATATCCCTGCTTAATAATATTTAATATCCTCAAGTGACAGAAATAGCATGGAGTAAAAGACTCAAAACCAACTTAGAAACTGCACTAAGTCAGAAAATTTTTAAAAACCTGTTTGCAATATTGGGAGAGGTAATTTAGATGATCAATAAACTTTTCTGGTAGCTGCTTCCAACCAACACAGCTCCATGTTGTTCAGGGTCGAATGGTGTATGTGTGTGTGTGTGTGTGTGTGAGAGAGAGAGAGAGAGAGAGAGAGACAGAGAAGATGGCATAGAAGGACCATTCCAGGGAATAAGTGAAGAATTTCTGGTTTATTGGCTCGTCTGTAGCATGAAGGGACCTTGTAACATCATAAATCCCACAACAGACTGTAAGACTGAGTACATCACTGTTGACTTTTCACAGATTATTATAGAAGTTATATTTTGATTCCAGCCTCTCAAATTTCAGGAGAAACCATTACTTAGCAGGCAATGGATTCATTACCTAGTATATCTTCAGTGGCCCACTTTTTATCCTTCCTTCCTTCCCTCCCTCTCTCCTTCTCCCTTTTTCTCTTTTCTTCCCTCCCTTTCCCTTTTCTTTCTTCCTTTTCCCCATCTCCCCTTTATCCCTCACTCTTTCCAGCCATTTCCTTCTCCCTTCTCTGCATGTTTTTCACTTTCTGTCCTCTTCCCCCTTTATTTTTCTTCCCTTTTCTTCCTCAGTTTTACTGCTCCTTTTCTTCCTTTCTTTCATGATTATGTGTTGAATGTTTGACCTCGCACTGTGCTGGGTGCTAAGGACACAGAAGGGAGCAAAGTCTACCCCTACCCCACACAGTTTACTTTCAGAGGGAAACAGTTCTTTTTCAAAATTCCCATGATATGCACACAGCTCCTATTTTCACACAAGAGCTCGAAAATCATCCCTAGGGTTGGGGATATAGCTCAGCGGCATAAGCACTTGCCACAAAGCAAGGTCCTGAGTTCAATTCCCGGTAGCAAAAAAAAAAAAGAAAAGAAAAGAAAATCATCCCTAGAAGAGTACTTACAGCTATGGAAAATCGCTGAATGCTTTCATCCTCACAGTCTTGGATGATCTTCTGTAGTTGATGGTTGTCATGTGACTCTCCATCAGTCACAATAACCATGACTTTTTTTACTCCCCTCCGGGCACCCCGGGCTTCAGTGAAGGCCTCCTTCCTGAAGTGAGCGCAGACAGAAGGGTGCTGGTAAGACATCACCTCAACGTTGGGCAAAATAAAAAACTAAACTAACATTAGCAGCTCAGGGTGGCCTGTTGCTTCCCTCCAAGACCAACATGGATACCACTGATCATGCCAGGAGGCAGGATGATCCTTCTGGTCATCGTTTCCTATGTGTTCCAGGTGATGGGGAAGTCACCATTTTCTTATCACCACATATGCCGTACACAAGAGACGGCAGTATTTTCTTCTTTGGAAACATAAAAGCGAGACTGTGACTATGACCTGCATCAGGCTCAGAAGTCAAGTCTGTGAATACTCTTTGAGATGCTCCTTTCTCTAGAAACACTCCTTCTCTCCCTTGACTGGTCTGTTTTCTTCCACTTCTGACTGATGTGCTTGCTTGAAATCTTACTTTCCTTGTACCTCCTCTGACATTCATAGCACCAAATATTTGCAGGGCTGTGAATGCTTGAGAATATTTTGGGTGTGGGGAGAAATCAAAAATAGGTATAAGGGGGTACAGATAGTAGTGGTCTGAGTCTGCCCATGGGTGTATGGACAGAAGTGCTGAGGTCCGAAATGGTGTCTTAGTCATTTTCCTTTAAGACACAAGACACATTTTCTTTAAGACACAATACCAGTCATCCAAAGCTTGAAGAGAGGTTTACTTTGGCTTATGGTTTCAGTCCATGGATCCAAGGCAGAAACAGGATGGGAAAGGGGTCCCCGCACCAGCCAGGAAGCAGAGAGAGGAGAGGATGCAGGGATAAGAATAGTATACCCTTCCAGGTCACACCTCCAGTGACCTACCTCTAGCCAGGCCCCACTCATAACAGCAAGTGAGTTACAGCATCTCTACTATCCATTCACCTTCCACAGCATGTGAATAGGGGGAGCTTTTAGATCTAAACCATACGAACTAGGTTTGAGGACATGGACTGTTGAAAGTGGAGTAGGAGGAGGTGGTATGGGGAGAAAGGAAAATACTATAGCCTAACTGTAAAGAAAGGAATTTTAATTTAATTCAGTAAGTGTTTATGGAAGAAGAGAGATGATAGGGATATGGATTTTTTAAAATTTCTTTTACACACACACACACACACACACACACACACACACACACACACACCATTACTTCCTTGACTCAACATGCTTTCTTTTCTGGAGTCTTAGAATTAAGGATTACATGCTAATAAGACTAAAACAATGAAAGAATTTTATATATATTAGAGTTTTAGATTTTGGTAGAAAGGACAGCAATCATTGCAGTGAATGTCCTTTAAGTATTTTAGTTTGGTTGAATAACTATAGTTAGGGATTTGCCAAAGAAACACCTCTTCTGACGTAACATTCCAAATGGTTTGCACAGTTCCTTTGACCTGTACATAGACACCCAGCAAAGGCACAGTATCTTGGGGTAGTGAGCAAGGATCTTGGTGCAAGCCAAGGGATTTGATCTGTGATTATTTCGTCTTTCAAGGGACTTAAAGCAAATGTGAAAAAAATGTTGATGACTGTCAATTCTGTGGAATGGATACACACAGTTTGTACCAGTTTTTAAACTTAATTTTTTGTAAAATTTTCAAAAGAAAGACAGATAATAAACTCTGCATCTCTGATCTCTATACTTAATGAAGACTCTCCTTGACCAAAACTGAGTGAGGCTCCACTGAGCCCGCTTCTAGGCTGGGATCTGACCCCGGATTTTGTCTTCGGCCTGCTTATTATGGTTTTGGCTCATGCTTCTTCAGCAGATCATTTGATGTTCTTCTGGTTCTGAGTGCTGACTGATCTGTGAGCCATTCTTTGCTCAAATAATGTCCATTAAACTTTTTTGGTATAGTTTTAACAAATAAGAAACATATCTTTGATCTGCACACCTCCTTCCTACCACATACTCCCAAATCCCTTGGAATTCCCTAGGTGACAGGGGTATCCTTATTCTAAGGTAACTCTCGGTGAGTTGTTAGGTGGGGGTGGTCAGCAGAACAACCAAGCATGATTAGAAGCTTGGGACTTACAGTCTTAATTCAATTCTCTAGGCAATGGAGAGAGGCTGGAGATTGAATTAATGACCAGTCATGCTTACCTAATGAAGTGCCATAAAAACTCCTGAATTATGGAGTTCAGAGAGGTTTCAGGATGCTGTACACATAAAGGATGGCGTGCCTGGAGAAGACATAGAAGCACCGTGCCCCTTCCCCAAACATTGCCCTATGTACTTCTTGTGCCTAAATGTCCCTGAGTTGTATTATTTGATAATAAATGAATAGTAGTAAGCAAAATGCATTCCTGAGTTCTCTGAGCTACTCTAGCAAACAATCAAACCCAAGAGGAGGGTCACAGGAAACTCACATTGGTAGCCAAGTGGGACAAAAACTGTGTATAACCCAGATGGAAATCTTAAGTGGGTTGCTTCTGAAATGGGGAGTGGTCTTATGGGACTGAGCCCTTAACTTAGGATGTCTGCGTTAACTCTGGCTAGTGTCATAAATAAGTTGAATTTTAGGACACTCAACTTGTGTCCAATGATTAGGCAGACTGAGGAAGAATCCCTACGTCTGGTGTCAGAAGTAAAGAACTGAGCATTAAGAGTATAGAAAGAGAAAAGCTTTTCCACTATTCATCTGCTTTCAGCAAGGGTCATGTTGAGTCAGTCTAGTATGAGTCTCCTTGGATTTAATTTTCCTCTTAGTAAGTTTTCATCCACTGACTCCCTGATCTGATCCACATCTATAAATATCCACTTATCTTTGTTGTATTCAAAATTGAGCCCAGTCTCTCCTCTATTGCAAAACCCCATTGCAGTAGTCTTCTCTCCAAGGAGGTCTTCCTTACCATCTTCAATAAGTGCATGAATAGTTTTGAATTAACATACTATACAAAGAGATTTTCTTACTTTTGTAAATGTATAAACAAAGGTGAAAGCACATGTTAAAGGCTAGGCTTTAAAAGCAGTTTTGGATGTAAATATCATTTGAGATCAGTCTATTTTGCAATTCTAATTCCTTGGAGGATTACTGAAACTTCCTAATTTTCTTAAAGATCAAGGTCATAAGTGAACTAAATGAACATTAGCTGAAGATGATTAAAAGGCTTTCCTTAAAGAAAATCTGGTTTCTTTGAAACCAGGGCTGGCTTTGAATACTGAAAGAGTAACCACTGGCAGAAGTCCTGAGTACAGACATTCTGTTTCAAGCATATTTCTTAACAAAGTGTCCTTGTCCCCAAAATACCAGCATATAATCCTCTTTCTTGGAATTAAGTATTGTCCTCCTTGTGTGGCTTTAAAAATTAAAATTCCCAAGAGGGTCTCTTTCTGTAGCACAGCAGAAGCCAGGCATATGGTGAAATACTGTCAGCCTATTGGCAGGAATGAAAATTTGTGACTTGGGTTAGGGAAAAGGGAACACAAGATATATGTTGAACTGGGAGGCATGCAAAATGGAGGTCATGGGTTCTAAGAAATTACAACTGTTGTTTGCAACTGCTCCTGACTGAAGGGAATGAAAAATAATAAAGAAGTGTTTAAATATGAAAATCTAATGTAAGAGAAAGATAATCAGTACTATGATATCACTAGAGACTTTTTGCATACATTCAAAACTCAGTAACCTGTGTACTACAGCTGAACATTTTGTGAAACATGTAAGCAAAAGCCATATAAGGATGAGATATTTAGAGTGATATTTATGTAAGAGCAATAGCAGTTCAATTATTTCTTCAGTTTGTTTTCTATGATGAATATTCATTCTTAACTGTTTGTTTTTGGAAAATGCACAACTCTTTACAGGCTGAGACCTTTTAAAGAACATTGTGATTTCCTTTCAGTGTGCAGCCACTGTTAATTATTGAAGAGGGCACATTCAGGAGACATAGGAATGTGTGTGCCCTGGTGCATGCAAATGGAGATCCTCTACGCAGGTAAAGGTAAAATTGCCCCATCTGCTTGCAGTTATTTTCTCTTGGGTTCCATATAACTAGATCCACATGTTTTTCTAATATTTATGAATCTAAAGCTGTGCTTGAAATTTTAACTATTTGCATATCCAAGCAATTCTTTGTAGCATCCATTTTAATGATTTTAAGGAAGTGTAACCATGGGTAATTAGCTCTTCTGCCTTAGACAAAGAGTCCAGAAGTTGAAGACACTTAACAGAAGAATTCTTAACAGGACTCAAACTACTCACTGGATTTCTTATAAAACTGGGCATTGTTTAGTTTTTGTTTGGAAGTTTGCTAAGTTTAATGGGAACAAAAAGAGAAATAGCAAGAGATAAGAAGTGAACGAGACTGGAGGAAATACAAGAAATGTTCTACATTTGTAAGAGAGGACAGTGCATAGGACTTTATAAAACAAAATTTTACCACACAGTGGGTTATTTTTCCCCCTGAAGAAATCCATAGAAAGGAAGAAGGAAAGGATGTAAACTGGAAAGAATTTAAGAAAAAGAAGCAAGAAAACAAAACATTACAAGTAATTAAACCCTTTTCATTTCTTCCAAACTTCACACTAAAAATGATTGGAAACAAGATAATATTTAATGTGACATTTTAGAAATTCTGTTCAGAACTTTAATAATACTAAGTCAAACACTAAAAGTATATGGACATAGTAGGATATTAATATATATTGAGTAGAAATGAATTATATTATGATTCATTCTTTTAGATTGAGACTCTTAGAAACTGAAAACAAACAGTAAATGGAACAAATATTAAGTCTTAGTGCACAAGAACATGATGCAATAGAGTAGAGTGATTTTTAAAACTTAACTCTCCATTAATGAAATTCTTGCAATAACAGGACAAGTAAGAAGGGTGAAGAGATTGCATTATAGAAAAACTTAATTCTCAAGGAACCAATCTGAATCTGATTTTAAACAAGGTGACACTAAATATTACCAATGTAAATGTTCAATCAACCTCTGAAGGGCACAGCTGTGAGCAGTTATTTTGCATAGTCTTTTACTTTGGTCTGTTTTTATTCATATACCTTGCTGTGTCTATTCCAAGGGCTGTCATAGTCTGGCGGCCACCTCTCTGGCGTATTTGTTTTGCCGCAACAAGTATCTCTTCTGTAGATGAGTATTTATTAAGGTTGAACTCATGAGTAACTTCTTCTCCATATTGTACAACTCCAACCTGAAACATCAACCCACTAGAGTTAAAAATTTGGTAAAATTCCCATTCAGTTTTCTTAAGTTTAAATATATAGGTCAGATGAAATACATTTTAGTCTTTCTGATGAGTTTAATACTTTTGCAGTGTACAAATCCTTCTACTTTCATATCAATAACCATGGTCATTCTGTGGATCATAGTTAAAAGAGCAAAACTAAAGATGCTGTTATTAAATGTCTCAAATGACTGGTTTGACTTGAACACATTGCTGAATACAATATTTCTGAATGATTTTGAGGGCCTAAATAAGAAAACTATGCTAAATTTTTATTTTTTTAGTTTTTGGTACCAGGAATCCAACTCACAACTTCTTGCTTGCCAGGCAGGCACTGTGCCACTGAGATATATCCCCAGCTCCTATGCTATATTTTTAATGTTTTTTTTTTGTTTTAGTTCCTTTCATATATTCAAATTATATTAACAGAAATGATAACATTTCCTAAATGAGAAAATGTGATTAAAATACTCACTTCCCAAAGTGTACAAGCAAAAGGAGTTCTAGTCTAATGTATCGTTTATCCCAGAATTTTCAATTAAGCTACCTCCTCTAGAACATGTGCTCCCCTAAAATCCCTCCATTCTTTGATCATCTGATCCTAGTTACTTCTACTAAGCAAAAGGAGAAATTGACATAGATTACAGTAGGTGATACAACATACAAACGAATAAGTAGTATTTTTAAAAGGAAATAGACCATATGAACTTTCCTTTGAAGTTGCTTAGTCCAATATAAGATAAATAAGAGCTAGAGAATATATGCAAGGTTAAGATGAGGTATATAGTATAAGCTAAATGAACATGTAATCTGCTCAATCTCTGTATAGTTTAGTCCTGTTCTTTTATGAATAACCTCTCCCATGAATATTCTTAGCCATTTGCCCCAAGATCATAACTTACAATATTTGAAACAAATATAAGCAGAAATCCCTTTGCAAACAAAGTAGGTTAAAACCAACTAATTACAAAAAATATAAAATAAAAGAGGAAAGACACACACACACAACTCTAATTCAGTTTCTTTTCTTGACATAATTAAGTGTGCTGGGCATTTCTAGTATCCTTAGCATAGATTCAAAATTCTTTTCTTTAATGACCTTACAACATTTGATTCATGGTCCTGGAAAACAGTGAATAATTAATAAGAGGAACCCATGTAGGTTTTGCATTATCTACATGTATATAAATGTTCAGTGTAAATAGAAATGAAATGATTTTGTTACTCAGATAATCATTATGCTTAACTCTAGGCAGCAAGGTAAATAAATACTGCTGTGGAAGTTAATGGCTTATCCAATCAAGACATCTTGCACAGCTTGTTTTATCTTTCTTTTCCTGTGTTTTTATTTGATTAAGCAGGCAGCTATAAACTGGAAATCTTCACATCTATTCCTATCATTATTCTTGGGCATTTTAGCATCTCTTTGGAGAATCTGTTGAACAGTCGGAGCTCTCATTTCTTTGATCTCCTTAGCCTTAGTAATTGTTCCTTGGGGTTCACCTAGCCTTAATATTGCCATCTAGAAGAGCTGCAGCACTTCAATTTCAAATGCTCCCCTTTCTGATCATTAACTTCAGCTCCTTTGTCTAGTAAGTCTCATTCAACAGCCACACCAAGACTTCTGGGACTTCATCAACCTTACCCTTCCTTGGCACTTAGTCTAGATTCTGTGGTCTAAATACTAGAATTATTGTCTTGCAAATATTTTCCTCTTTTAATTTTTTTCCCTTTCCATTAAGTCACTTGACTTATTTTCAACTCTGGTTAAATTCAGCTATCTCCTCCCTCTGTATGTCTGTGCTGACAAATATTGCTACACAAAACCCACAGAACTTGTAAGACTGGTTTCTTTTTAAAAGTATCATCTTGGATACCAAATGGGCATACACATTTGAACATTGCCCAACATTCCTACCTCTTTCTACTAATGTATGTACTCTGTTCCCACTTTTTTATTTCAATCACATTCTTGTTAAAAGCTGTTAACTCCTCAGGAGATAGAATATATCGCTCCCGTATGGGGAGCAGTTGGATGTATGTTAATACTTTGCACTTGTAGTTATGCTTTACATGTCTTATAAAACCTGACCTGAACTATTGGATTATTTAGGATGATTTTCTGCACACCAAGAATAGCAAAATCAGAGATCAGTGCTTTGTATCTCACATCTCTGTTTACTACTTTTTATCTTCCTTCTTAACATGTGTCTCACTTCTATAAGCGTATTCTTCTAAAAGTTAAGACAGAAGAGAATTTAAAAGCCTTAAAACTGCTGGTTCCCACATTTTCCTGTATACTTCACTTCTAATTACTCACAAGATTCACTGTAGCAAACTCTCCTTGGGCTTCTAAACTGCTTTGCCCCTTAAGTTTAAGGAGCTGAAAATACCAAGAAGTTTTTATCCCTCCTCAGCCCTCACCCTGAACAAAGGAAATGCAGGAAATTCAAGACCAGCCCCTTGGGGCTGGGGATTTAGCTCAGCAGCAAAGAGCCTGCCTGGCAAGTGCAAGTCGTGAGTTCAATTCCTGGTACCGGAAGAAAAACAAACAAACAAACAAACAAAAAAAGACCAGCCCCTTGGCTCAAGTGGGCACTTGCCTTTCGGACTAGGCTCAGGCCTTGTTTGTTGTCTGGTGTCTGCACTCAGCTTTGATTTTCCAAACCCCTTCCTATTTTCTGCAGAACAGAAACTGGTTCCTGAATAAACCACTGTTACATGATTCCTTCTTTCAAGGTTTGCTTCTTGGGAACTAATGGGACCTGAGATAGGTCCAGGTCCTATGATCTATGCTCCTACTTTATCTCAGGCCAGGCATAATTTCCTTCAGCCTAGAAGGCAATTGTTGGTCTGTCCGTTTCTGATCTCTTTCCTCCATTTCCACTCTCCCCAAATTCATCTACATATTATTAGAAGGTTAACCATGAACTACTGCATTTATTGTATAACTTCCCCATTCAAAAACATCCAGTGACTCCCCACTGCCTAATCAATGCCTTTGAAATATACCTTAAAAGGGAAACTTTTTATTCTAATTTTTAAAAGAGAGCAGATAAAACTTTGAGCAGCTCCTTGAAATGCCATAGTCCTTGAAAACATGTTAAAATCCAGTTTTCTCCCCTTGACTGCCAACAGTCTAGTCCTACCTTCTCTATTTAATTTACCTTCTCCAGTATTAACTCTGCTTCTACCAAGTGCCCTTCTCTGTCCCTCCAACTAAACCAACTTCTACCCATCCTGTGAAGTTTAAATTCTATTTACTTTGCACAGCTTTCTCTAGCTCATTGCCAACAGAGCCCACACTGAGCTTTACTTTCTCAGGACACTGAGTCAAACAAGTCTGTGGGTGCTGCATTCTTCTCAAGTGTTCTGGATGTGTGCTTTATTTCTCCAGCTGCATCACAAGTTCTAAGGGGTCAGGCGGGGTAAAGAAGATGGACTATATCATGGCTTATGGCATTATTTTATCCCTTACCACTGCTCTGCTTTGCACACAGCTGACACACATACATCTCTAGTAGATGATTGCTTCACATAGCGAGTGGCAAGTTGAGATAGCCGGGGAATAATGATAAGCAGAAAAAGAGCTAAAAAGAAGGGTGGGGAATGTGAAGAGTGGGAGTTGAACTCAAACTGCAGGGAAATGACATCCAGGGTAGGTTGCTGGTTGATCTAGTGGCTGCTTATTTCCTTAGAAACCAGACAGAATAAGGCCTGTGGTGAGTTTTCCCAAATAGAGATACCATTTATTACTTTTCAGTAGAGAAGGTCAGGTTGCAAAACTAACGTATATAATGCTGTGCTGAGTATTGATAGTTTCAGTCTCAGTTTAGCTTATCATTTAAAGCAAATGAAACAAATTTATATAAGTAAATGTATAGACATGTAGTGGAATAAAATAAGTTTGAGAATTAAAGCTAAAAAGGAAGCCAAGTCTTGAAGATGCTCGATGAGGGGGGAGGGGCCCAAGAATCATCAGCATATTCTCACTCTGCCATTGAAAAATCTTGTGGAGGTAGGAAGGTCCAGCTTTCTGAATGAGACTGCCAAGTAAAGAAGGAGCAACACATGAGCTAAACACTATGGGTGGAAACAAGTGGTCTTACAAACCTAGGCCTCATATCAAAGATGACAATTAAAGAACCTTAAGTCATTTTAGAAATTGAGAGAAAGAAGAGCAAACAGTAATCTTCATATTTGACTTGATGATGTCAATTGTACTAGAATGGTATAAACAGCAGCGGATGGAAGTTAGGTACAGTGCCGGGGAGGAGTAATGCACAGGAAAAGATTCTAGGCATTTTCTTGCTAGGTGGAAAAAGGAAGTGACACTGACAGCTACAAGAAATAATTTGATTAGATATAGACATTCTCTAAGGGGAAATGGCAAGAGAATAGCTATGATGTCAGCAAAAGAGTGGATGAATATAGTAACAATGAACCCTTGCAATATAGAGGGGGGTAAATAGTTACTAGTGGAAGGAAGGTGGGGCTGGAGTTTGAACTTCTTGATTAAATAGGAAAAAAAAAACATGACAACCCAAGACCAAAGAGAGTAGGAGGTGACTCCAGCCATAGCATACAGTAGGCATACAACGGTTATGGATTTGTTTCATGAACTTGAGATTTACAACGTTTATTCAAATCTTTCACAGAAACATAAAGTTAATAATCATTTATTAGGTAAACCCCCAACTAATATCCTTTATTTTTCCTCCAGGGAATTTTAGATCCCTTCGTATAGTAATAGGCAAGATTTTATCTTAGAAAATGAATAAAAAAAATTAAACAAATATCTTTATAGGACCCTTCTCCTCCATTATTCTCTATTTCCCATCTATACAAAAATGTCATAGATTTCCAATGGTGCAAAAGAGAAAGACTTTCTCTCACTCCTGCCCCCAGTTGCTCTCCTCAGACTTAGAAGCAAACTCTTTTGAAAGTGTTCTCAGTGTTTTCAATAA